ACCCCCCCCCCCCCCCCCCCCCCCCCCCCCCCCCCCCCCCCCCCCCCCCCCCCCCCCCCCCCCCCCCCCCCCCCCCCCCCCCCCCCCCCCCCCCCAGGTGTCTCGAGGTTCCGCAAGCGAGTAACGAGTGCTTATCTTCTTCGCTCTTCGATTCACGGCTGGGCTGGCTTAATCTATCTCTTTATTTTTTAGACTTAACGACGAGTGGGCGGTTCTTACAACAAGCATTGAGATGCACGTGCGCATTTCGCCTGTGGCATTTGTCAAATACGACGGACGAAAGGGGTGTGTACACGTGTGTGTCGGGTGTGTGTAATGGGACATAGATCTCTCAGGGCAGAGATTTTTTGATACCAAGCACGGATTAATTTAACTAGAGAAAGTGATATACCCCCCTATCCCATCCATCTCGGAACCGTCATCATCTTCATGATCGAGAGGCTTTGAAATATTGATTACGCTTTCGGAGCACACTTTACATGATAGGTACCTAACCTAACCTTTCTAGACTTAGGTACTTTGTTATGATTTTTCTCTGCGCGGGTTTACGCCATTCTGATATGTATGAATGTAATTTGAGTGTATCACGCGTATTCCATTTCAGCCTGCCTCTGATTTCTACTTTTGTCTTAAAGGGGTGTCATGCATGTGGATAGGAGAAAGAGAAAATGTACGATCCTTGGTCCGCTCACAAGACCACCATCCGTCAAGCAAGCAGACCTACCTGCATCGAAAATTCCTGCTTTGAGTTCGAAATGCGTAGTTCTTAATAGATCCTCAACAGATACCTTCGTTCCTTAGGGTGTTGATGACATACTTGCCTGGCACGTATTGGAAAGCTATGGTTGATATCGCAATAGGTTGTGAGCTCCTACAAACCCTACCCGGAGAAGAAGACCAAGGTATACATACAGGTACATATATTAACTTCGCCGGGAAGCCAGCTTTCTATAGCAACTCGGAGGGGGCCTGTACGTTTCTAAAGGCCCCCCCAAAAAGAACACGAGCACGGACTTATAGCCAACAGCAACAACTTTGAGCAAAAATCTTTTAATATTTCCCTTTTTATTTTCTTATTTTTGACAAATTTTGTGTGCGTAGCGCCGCATGCTTTGCCGAGTCCTCACTTTGCACTGCCTATTACCCAACACATAACCCTCAAGGGGGGGATGGGGAGGGTTAGGGAGAGTTATATATGCCCACCTACACAGTATCCAACCAGACCCCCTTTTCCTTTCGTCCTTCTTCGCCACTTCCCCTTTCCCCATCTTCTTAACTTTATAAAGGGTGTGACATAAGCAATAAGCATATATACCTAGGTATGTATATAAGCTACCTTAGATCAGGTAGGTACCTACTTATATGCCTAGGTACCTAGGTTTCGTACCTAACAGCCAACCTACCGGCCCTCAAGCTTCTTCTCCCTAATAAACGAGGACGAGACCAACGCGGCGGCAGCCAGGATGCCGACAGGGAGGAACGCCCACTGGACGGCGACAGCGTAGCAGGCGCGGACGAGCTCGGCGACGGGGGGGTCGAGCGTGCGGATGTAGTCGAGGCTCTGGCGGACGCCCTCCTCGATCTCGCGCGCGCGGTCGCCGTCGCCGCCCAGCGCCGCCGCCAGCCGCGTGCGCAGGACCTGCTGCAGGACCGCCGTGCAGATGCTGACGCCCAGCGTCGTGCCCAGCGACCGGAACAGGTACGAGCACGCGATGGCCACCGCCGAGTCGGACGGGTTCGCGTTCGCGATGATGGCGATGAGCGTGCTGGTGATGGCTAGGTTAGGGGGGAGGGGCATTTATATTAGCATACCATTATCGATTTGTTTCCATTTAACAGCAGGACAGGGGGGAGGAGGGAGGTTGATGGTGAAGAAAAAAAAAACGAAAGAAGACAAGAAAAAGCGTGACATACAAGTACCAGACCCGAGCGCCATGATACACAGGCCCACTATGACTCCCGCGGTAGACTTGACCACCGCGCCCGAGAAGGACACCGCGGGAGCTACGCCGAGAACCACCAGGACGTACCCGATCACCGTGATCCAGTAGTACTTGCCCGTGCGGCGCATGATGATGCCGCTGCCCAGCGAGCCCGTGAGCCCGAACACGGTGCTGGGCAGGAACATGAGGCCGGAAGAAGTAGCCGAGAGGCCGACGGCGGCCTGGAAGAACAGGGCGATGAAGAAGGAGACGCCCATCTGCGCGGCGAGGCTGAATAGGTTGGCCCCGTACACCGCGAGCAGCGGCGGGTCGAGGATGACGTGGCCGGGCGCGAAGGGGACGGCCGCGACCCGGATCTCGATGAAGAGGAACAGGGCGAAGAGGAGCGGGGTCAGGGCGAGGGGCACGACGGTGACGCGCCGGCTCCAGCCCTCGTTGCTGCCGTTGTCGAGGCCGAACAGCAGCGCGAACACGGCGGAGACCAGGGTGAAGGCCCCGAGGAAGTCGATGCGCGCCACCTTGTGCGTCCAGTGCGCGTGGTCCGTCCTGGGCAGGTCGAGGACGAAGAACACAGCTAGCCACGCGACGAGTGATAGCGGGAACTGGCCCGCGAACGCCCATCGCCAGCCGATAGTATCGGCAATTAGACCACCGATTGGTGCGCCGGATGCCACTGCGACAAGGAGAGTCAATGAATGATTACTAGTTTGAGACAGGCGTCTGGTAGATTTAGGAATGTCTCAGGTACGATGTAACCCATTCCGACTAAATGTGGGAATGCTAAATCCGAGACAGACCCAAAAGGGGGAAAAGGAAATTCTCATTGTTACGTACTGCCGGCGGTGTACACAATGTTGATGTAGCCCTGAAAGAGGCCGCGGTCCCTAAGAGACACGAGATCCGTGACCAGGATAGTTACGACGGCGTTCATGCCGCCGCCACCGACGCCGGCTATGGCGCGGGCCGCGCATAGCTCGACGATATCGCGGGATAGTCCGCAGCCGAGGCAGCCAATACCAAAGACGGCGTAGGCAAACAGCAGGCACTCCTTGCGGCCGAAGATGTCAGACAACCGGCCGTATAGGGGTTGAAATACCGTCAGCGTCAAGAAGTACGAGGTGGAGATCCAGCTCGTCGAGTTCAAGGCGTTGAGATCACTACCCATCTTGCCGTAGGTGGCGAGAGTTAACGTCTGGTCTAACGCCACCATAAATATCTACTCCTATTAGCGATTCCCGGTCTACGTCGGTAGGAGTATATTATACATATTGTACATATATAGTCCTTCACTTACACCAATGGCAAGCGCCGGTAGGAGCGCCTTCATGTTTACTTTCAATTTTGGCGCACTCCCGGTTGGCGCAGAGCCGTCTGGCCGGCCATTTTCCACATCATTCTCCGGGAAATCACTGGCGACGGAGTTGCTTGAGCTCGAAGACGTGCCATTAGATTGGCTCTGAGCCGAGACGCTCACTACAGAAACGTCTTTCTTAAGCAGAGGTGTCGTCTCCGAGGCCCCATCGATAAAGGTGGGCGCAGTGTCGTTGGAAGACATTGGCCTTGGATTCAGAAGACTTTACAAAAATCGAAGTATAGTTATACAAGAGAAAGAAAAAGGGTTAAAAAAACCCAACTACGTTCTATTTTGTCGCGAGCAAGGCGAAAAGGATCCTGCGAAATTGATGTGCATACCAACTATCACGCAATTGAAGGATTCTGCGGTGATTGATTGATAATCTATCAACTTGCAGACTCGTTGGGGGCTGACGAGATAACGCTCCCCCGTAATCGCTAACGGTCCGCCGTAACCCCATTTTATAGGTCCGCATTGTATTAAATTGTATTGTACTTGAACTGTATTATTCATATAGAGATAGAAGACCTTTTAAGGCGAGTCGAAAGTTGAACTATATTGCCATCTCTTTTTCTGCAACAGAGACAATATCGACGGGTTCGTTGTTGAAACCTGGAATTGAAATAGACTCAACTCACGATAATGTTATACCCGTTGTTAGACTCAATGGTCTTTCCAACTGCATGATAAGTGGCTACCAGTCAGGATTTCGGGAGCTAACTAATGCACGTTACCGCGACACGTTCGTATAGGCTTGATCTCTACATACCTTAGGTAGGTAACTAGATGATAGAGACTGACATCCGGGCCTGTGGAATTTGTGCTGCATCGTCTCGGATGAATAAACCGTCCTGTACGAATCCGTACGAAGTACCTATTTAAAGACACGCAGGCATATGGTCAAGGCTTTTCGTGCGTTTCACAGCTTACCTAGATCAATAAATTTCCGTCAATTTATCTTCATGTCCGTCTGCATCATGCATCATGTCGCGTGGTATAATTTACAATCTGTAAAATTGGTTTGAGGTAAATAACGCCTAGGTTAAATGCCATTGTCAGTTTCCCGATCTCTTCACGTACCTGTAAGTCAAGTCCTAATCAGCCATCGAACCGGCTTAATGGTTCAGTGGCTCCCGGATAACTTTGGTCCCAACTCCCGAAACATACACACGGGCCAACAACTAGGTACCTAGCTTAGTTTCATCTGATAGTTAATCGGAACTTAACACCACAGGGCGAGAACCTTGGAACACGTAGTTACATCTTCAACGACGTTTGAAGTTCGTACATAGTAGGTAGTAGCGGTATTACGCCATACACGATGCTAAATTTGCCATCCTTTTCAAAGTCAACGGATGCTACAGCCTAGAGCTTGAAAGTTGAACCCTACCTAGGTAATTATGGCCTATAGGTATCTACCTAAGTACGTGACGAGTCCTCAACAGATCTGCAAGGGAATGCAAAACACACTTAGGTGTTAATCTCCGGTTCTGCCGAAGTTCCAGTGACGCTTGCACGTGAAGTTTCGATAGGGTCTTCAAGTCGGGAGAGAATGCTACCTATTGATTCTTGTCGAGGGCCCCTACTGGTCAACCCTTCCGCACGTCGGACGGGATTAACCATGCTCGAATGTGCGGTCCTAAGCATAGCCCAGATTAGCCCACTTTGGACGAAATTTCGACGCGTTTGTGCTTGAAGGCACAGCCTCAGGTTGCCTCCCATCTATCATATCATTGATGATTCCTGACGATATCCCGTGTGGACGATCGTGGCTGGAGCGATTTTCGCACATCTTCGATATGAGTGTCTTGCTTGTCTCATTCTAGTCTAGTGGTAACATTGTCAAATTAGACATGTCCTCGAGATCTCTAGGCACCAGCGCCGGTACCCGTCTCAGGTGGCAAGGATTTTCTCTCTTGTTGCTTTCCTCTTCTCTCTTTGTGTGTGCTTTTTATCTTATCTCAACTCGCAATTCGAGTAACCGATCCCATACCTTCAACAGTGTCAATTGTAAACGCCAGTCAAGTTGTCATTGGAAAGGCTCCAGCAAAAGAAAAGTTTAGAAAGAAATGATAGAAATCCACTTAATCCTGTTAATTAAAGTTACCCAACCACTCTCCTCTTAGGGATTTCCCTGTGGCTGAAACACCCGTTCGAGGGTTCATCTCCACGAGGGGGGTAACAGTTCTGGAGAGACGAAGAGGATTCGCACATTGCAGTGTAAGCCGATGCATAACAGATCGAGCGGGCCTCCCACTAAAAGAGCACCCCAAGTCTGTAGGGCTAGCTCCGACTCGCCCCTGACCCATCTCTAAACTTGCTTCCTCCCTTGCCCAGTTTTCCGCAGCAGTCTCGCCAGGAAAAAATCTGAAAAGAACGTCGAGGTCTCCATTTAAGCAGGGGTCCTCTATCTTCTAACTCGTCGAGACTCTTTCGTGTGGATCCTTCAGGCGTGGTACCTGCATCAAAGTGCTGTCATTCCGCAAAACCGTGAAGCAGGATCAAGTCTAAGGGTAGGGTTAGTAGGTAGGTTAGTTAGGTTAGTAAATCCAACCCCGTTCGTTCAATGGCATGGTATCGCTTCTTCTTACTTCTGCAACCCTGATTGCTCAACCCTAGTCTCTTCTTTCTCGACCTTATCAGACGAAACGAGTGGACACCGCGAATAGTCATATCTCATCAAGTTGGTATGACAGCATATGTAGTTTCGCCCTCCTTACATTTTTTTCTATCATACCCCCTAATTCAGTCGATAATACGATAATACGTAATGATGGAGCGCCCTGCTCTCCACGCCCCAAAGTCGGGGGGACGTTCACGTTTCTCAAAAGCATTACCTGCCCCTCCGCCTAAGTTGGAGGACGACAGGCAAGAGATAGTTCCTCAAACGCTACCTTCGGTGTACTCGCAATTCCTTCCCAGGAAAGATAGCCTTAGTGCCAAAAGCATTAGTAGTCCAAAGCTGAGCTTGAACTTGCCCCTTCCTACCTTACCACCAGAGGACATCACCAGCGGCCCCAAGTTGCAAAAGCAGGCGATGTCTATTCCAAGGAAGCCGGTGGGACTACCAGCAAATCCGACCCCAGCCCTGGCCGTAGATGCCCAGACAAAGAAGATGCGACGTGTTTCTTCTATATCTAGTCTGCTGTCAGCATATTCAAATACGTCGTCCGATTCTGTTCAAAGGTCGTCGCAGGGCAGTGTATTCACAAAGGACAGTGAGCCATCCAATTCACCGGAGCGAGAAGGAATGAACGATACTCGGCCGTCATTAGCAAAGACGTTGACAGCTCTTCCGAGTAACCCATATGGAGACGAAATGGGACGTACGAAGGATGAGGTGAAAGCAACTGATCTACCTCCGCCGCCACCATTGAAGGACCCGCTCCGTACAAGTACGCCGTCTCATAGCCAGCTTACGGAATCATTCCCGATGCCCCCGGCGACTCAATATGGCGTACATGACAGAGACCCACCAGCGTCACCTCCTGATGTTGCTGGCAACTCACCTCAACAACGAGAGATCTGGCGGCGACGTGTATCGTCAAAAACCGACCACGGGCCTCTTGTACCAGAGCTCAGATTAGCTGACTCCCATGGGTCTACTGCATCTACTGCATCCACTGCGCAACCAGTTCACCCAGACCCTCTCCCACCCCCACAGTCCACACAAAATAACAACACAACTTCCCCATTACCTCCTAGGAGTACCTCTCTCCCCGGAAGAAACGTTCGACCAGATAAGCAGGCAGAACCACAACCAGACGACAGGATGCGCAAACTTTCGGCCAAGCTCAAAGGGCTTACTGGCCGAGGCGATGCTACCAAAACTTCTGAGAAAGTCAAAGACAAACCGATTGAGAAGGGTGAACACTTTAAGGAGCTGGCATCTAGTGTGCAGCGTGAAGACAATGAGACTGACACAAGCCATGCGCATCCTATAAAAGATCAACTTCTCGCCGAGGAACCTTCAGTACCAAAGGTTTCAGTCGAGACTGTGGTCTTCTCACCGACTCGTCCTGGAGCATCATCGGAGACTCCCCCAAAAGAGTCCGTAGAAAAGCCAATTCCGCGCCGCGCGATCGGAGCCCCTACATTCCGCAATCAACCGGAAGTTCATAAAAAGGGGAGCTCGTCCGACCTCAGACAACCAGCTCTTGGGCTTCCACTATATCCGCGACCGTCACAAAGTAATCCTTCCTTGCGCTCACCTTCAACTCTTCATAATGCTCAGGAGACAATGAGACCCAAAGCTTCGCAGCCAATCCCACCTGTCTCGATGTCTCTCACATTACCGTCGGAATCAGACGGCCCCATGAAGAAGCCCGATCTCTTCAATGTTGTAACGGCATTAAATGAGCCTACATTGTCACCAAACTCAAGCGGTCGCAAGCCAATGCGCAACATCTCAAGGGACTTTGACACGAGCGCGCTTAGCGATATCGGCGAGTCGGTTGAACATATGACTCCGGAGCAGACCGCCCAGATCAACGAAGCACTGTCTCGCTTTCCTAGGAACTATAGTCTGGCGACCCCTCCTAATGATACCGTCTGGCGAGCTGCTCCCATCTCTTCGCGACACTATAGCTGTTATGTCCGCCATAACAAGTGGATTTCAGTTAACAATTCGAACTACCCGTTGGCTTGCCAGACATGCGGCGTTGAGGACACAGGATCGCGCAAGACGTGTTCATGGTGCAATCTTCGCATTTGCTTCGGATGCCATGAACGACTCACGGGTCTTTACAAGTCGGATCTCAAATTGTTAATGGAAAACATAGAACTTGACCAGCGATCCGGCAAAGAAAAGCAGGTAGCGAATACTTAACCTAAGCCTCGTATTGACACAACTCCTCGCCGACGGACGACCTGTTCTTCGAATACAAATGTTCGGCCTTAAGGGTATTTATATTATTCTCCGATCAACCTCTGGGTTATGTAAAGTACCTACGGGAAGTGATGATGATGTTCGAGAAGCATCAGTGATAAATGAACGAGGTTATTCGGCGTATGCCACGGCATAAATGATTAAAAAAAGGGGGGGATTTGCATCTTGGAATTAGGCGTTTAATGGTATGACAATACCTCCCTTATACGAATACACATACCCGATATATGTACGAGGCGTATAGCAAGCTCGGCAAAAACTTGGAGCAAAAGCTTGGACAGGGAAAGGGAAAGGGTAAGGAATGATGGAATCTTGGCTAGAGGCCAACGTGATGATACCAATTGCGATTAGGATTATGTAGATGCAGGTGAATTCGAGGGAAATAGGTATATTCTTTCCCTCGGACTTGGTAAACAGTAAACAACCTTCCTCAATGTCAATGCCTATTTTAGCTTCTAAGTGATATTCCATGCAGTCTCCCTCGGTATAATATTACTTGTGAGCTTGTGGCCCCTTCTTATCTATATTGATCCACTTGAAGGCATTTCTTGAAACGCTTGAGTAACACAGTACCTGTATGTATGCACTTGCCATATAATGAGCTAAATAGTATGCGTGACGGCAATAACTACTAGGTACCTAATAGACTGAATATCTGGGTACTTACCTCTAGCTAAGGAAGTAGGAGGTAATCCAAGGTTACACTAAGACCTTGAGAACGGCAGGTGCAATCCGATACTAGATAAGTATACGGTAGGTATAGAGGAAACCACGTCGCGATAGCCTTTTCCATTCAGCTCATCCAACTCATCTGATCCATACTTCGTTAGGTTGCTTTAGTGGGGTTAATCGTGGGGGACTGGGAATTGGGGAACCACTAAACCGTAAATCATCCACTGTAATTCTCGGTAACTTTGCCTTGTTAAGTCGCGTGCACGGGTCAAGAGCACAAAAGACCCTTGATTCTTACCTGACTCGAGACTCTACCCCCTAGACAAATTCCCATAAAAAAAGAGACTTTGTCTTTTTTTTAAGCTCTATCACTATGTCGTCGTCAACTAGCTTAAGCCGCACGCGCTCGCTCCAAAAACCTACTTCCGGGAGCAATGGATCAACAAGGGGAAATGCACCCGCGGCGCGTAATGATGCTAGGACCACGTCGCCCAGCAGATTGCCGGTGAAACCCACGATGACGACTCGTTCGATGGCGTCAAATGCTTCTGCTGCACCATCTACCACCACGGCGCGAAGAACCGCAAGTTCTATGATTACGGGAAGACCTACTTCGGGCATCTATAGCAAAGGCACATCCGCACGCGCAGATAATGCCGGAAATACTACAGCGAAAGCTTCACGGCCTTTAGGCAGAGCAGCATCTACGCGTCAAGCTTCGTCTACGTCCACCACCGCCGGATCAATTCCTCCTCCAACCCGCTCCGCAAGCACCACTGTCAGCCGCCCAAGGTCATCCGGTGGCCCACCTCCAGCAGCTTCGAACCGACCTATCGGACACTCGCGATCGAAATCCACAGTAACAAGCCTCACCGCCGCCACCACCCTCCGCCCTGCTACCCAATCCCGTATATCCCAGACGTCATCTACATCATCGGGCCGCACGAGCCCCGCCGCAAGCACAATTACAACAGCGAGTTCGAAAGCCCCGACGCGACAGACGCGCTCCCAGACCCATAGCCGCACGAAATCCCAATCCAACCCCTCGTCAACCTCCGCCTCCGCCGCTCCTTCGCAACAACCCACAGCCCGCCCCGCGTTCAACACCCACCAGCAGCATTACAGCCCGGCCAAGTCCCTCGCCCCGAAGCCCCTCACATCGACCTTCCTCGCACCCCCCTCGCCCTCCAAGCTCCCCGCCAACGTCGCCATCTCCGCCGAGACCAGCCGCCTGCAGACGGAGCTCCTCCAGCTCTCGCTCCTGCACCGGGACGCCGCGGCCGTCGACGCGGAGTGGCGCAGCAGCGCGCGGGAGAAGCTCGGGGCGCGGTTCGCGCGGCTGGTCGCCGACCACGACGCCCTCGTCAGGCTCGAGAGGCACGGCGTCGAGGCCCGGAATATCACGGCGCTAGTCCGCTGGGGCAAGAGCAAGAGTAAAAGCAGGAGCGGTCGGTCGGGCCTCGGGCTCGAAGAGAAACTCCAGATCCTCGACGAGGTGCTCAACGGCGTCTGGCAGCTCGGCGAGCCGGGCGGCCGGTATCACCGCGTGGTCGCCAGCTTCGAGGCCTGGGCCGAGCGCATGGCCTCCATCGTCGCGGCCCAGCGCTCGGGCGACGTCGACGGGCTGATCGCCGGCGGCGAGGTGCAGTTCCTCGGCGACCTGGACCGGAGCTGGGCGCGCGACTGCCAGAGCTTACTGCGCAAGCTCGAGGGGTGGCGAGCTGCTCTGCGGGATCTCGACCTCGACCCTAACAACGATGATGATGATGGCGGCAATAACGGAGTAAGAGACGACGGCTCCGGGCTCGCGCGTATGGTCCGCGGCAGCCGCGCGCTCGTCGACGATATGCTGGCCGAGCTGGCGCTCATGGGCCAGATCGAGCGGGACGCGGCGAGGACGGAGAACGACTGGATCTCCCGCATGAACAAGGCGATCGAGGACGAGGACGACGATACCCCCGCCGCGCGGGCGTACGTGCCGCTTTGGAAGATGGCGGTGTGAAGGAAGGGTATTGCGCTATGCTTTACCTTTTCCTTTGCCTTTGTTGTACTGTGCTGTACTTGGCGCCCGGGGGGGTTGGGGGGGTTGATTGTTAAGTTCCAGTTATTACTATAGATTGTAACGAACACCTGTAACAATAGGAAGGTTATACGAGAATTACGAGGAATGATAGGTAATAATCAGGTTAAAAATAAATGGTACCTAAGGTTAGGCGTAAATGTGAAAAGAGGCATGGCATGTAACAGGTTTTTGCTTCCTTCGATTGATGTTATTGCTTGGCTTTCCCACCCTATATAATATTAGGTCTAGGTAGGTAGTAAACTAAACGCTGGACGATTGTCGTTCTGTGCAGACTTGCAGAGTGACGAGATATCCCATTATACCTCCTACCTCATATCAGGCAACATGCATCTGGACGTCCTAAGCTACCTACCTCTATATGTATGTACCTAGGTTGATGGTCATTTCATATGTGATTGAAAGACAAGCAGCAGCATAAGCATAATGCACATATAAATCCGCACAAAAGAAACCCGAGCGACGATGTTATTGGTCTAACACTAAGAATTGCAACCCTAGGTACTCGTGCCCCCCTACATAGTTATTTCAAACAGGAGTATTTATTTCTGCCCAAAAAGAAAACCGTCAGGTTAGGTTAGGTTAGGTCGACATCTGGAATAACGATGATAACAAGCAGATAAAGCACACCAACCAATAATTCCTCGCCCCTAACATAAACCCCTTACAATCAACTGGGTGGCCGGCCTAACTCAATGATAATTCAACTCCGGGTTCGCTCTAAAATTGCAGCGACACCTGCACTCGGGAACCGGACACTCGACGTGTCTCTTGAACCACTGGCGCGCGTGGTCGAGGTGCAGGACGTGCTCGCACTTGAGGCAGAAAGTCGGGAAGCGGGCGGCGAGGCGGACCTGGGGGTCGGGCGAGGCCTCGGGCTTGTCGGAGCGCGGCACGCCCACGACCTCGAGGCACACGACGCACCGCGGGAGATGGCGCTCGCAGTTCGGGCAGCTGACCCCCGCGTTGATGTTGGCCGCCGCTAGCGGGTTCCCCGACCCCTTACCTGTCGAGACCGTCGACTGGTGGTGGCTTGGCCCCGTCTTGGAAAGCTCGTATTCGGCGTCGCAATACACGCAGCGTAGTGCGATCTGTCGAGAGGGCGGCGTGATGGTTGGGACGCCGCCTCGCTTGCTCTTCTTGGTACTTTCCACTTCGAACTTGGTCCGCTGCATGAATGCCTTGTGGCGCTGAAGATACGCTCTGTATGCATTCCTCCATACCCGACATCTATAATCATTGATATACCGTGGCGAACATATCGACAAGATCAGAGTAGCCGTCTGAACGTCATTGAATTTCTCGACGTACTTTGCAAATATGTCGACAAGCTTATCAGTTATTCCTGTGAGTACAATCCCTTCGATGTCGCCCGTGTCAATCGCCCTCTTGAGCTCCTTATGGAGCCACTGTGTGAGTTTCTCGTCGTCAAAATACCGAAGCGCTACAAACGTACGCTCCCGGAGCGGTAGAGATTCTTGGTTTGCGATAGTTTCCCAGTTATTCGTTGCAATAAGGGAAGATATCGCGCGAAGATATGGATCAGTTTTAGAGGCGACGGCATCGTCGAAATCCAGCTGCGTTTTGCCTAGATTCATGTCCCCTTGACTTTTAAGCTGTAAGGCCAAAGAAACGAACAAGAGCTCTGGGTATTCTGTACTGGCGCCCCTGAGTATTGCCACCGCCTTTTCGTAATCGCCTTCGAAGAGAGCATGGGCAGTTGCCATTGTATACCATGATGAATTGCGCTCGGAGGGGAGCATCTTCGCATATTCACTAAAGTATGCATCCGGCGATCTGCCCCACCCGCAAATCCACGTAGCAGCCTGGCGATGTACGGGCTTCTTGGAATCAACGCCATCATATGCTGGCTGTCTCGACTTCCTATTTATTTCCTGAAGACAACGCTCCCATGCAGCATCATCTGGCGCTCTTGTGCCATCTAGAAGTCTGACCGAATAATTAGACCCTACATGGCGATCAGTTAGTGCTTTCAAGAGAAAAACAGGAGTATAATTGACCTAGGTCATGCATCCATATGTTAGCAACTCCCATATAACTTAGGTCGATGCCCTGTGATACCATTCCCATATCAGAGGCAACGTCATCCGCCCCTACTAGGCCGTCAGTTTTTGAAACGAACGAGGAAACAAAGGTAAGAAGACATACCGGCAACCCAGTCCCATAGCTCCTTCAACCAAGGATCGTCGGCAGTTATGTCTCTATTCGCAGCGTAGTTAAATAAGTATTTCTCTTTAGAACGAAACAGCATCACGTGGTCAAGAACAAGCTGTGCTTCTTTAGGGAACCCCCTCGAGTCTAGCGTTGATATAAGGAGCCTCTCATGTAACTCTCTATTTGATGGTAAGACATTGTTCTTTACTGACAAAGCTGATAAAGACTGGTCCAAGTTTTTCGTTGCTGATTGCTGTCGCTCGTTTTCTTTCGATTGTATTGCAGGCTCGAGGGTTTCCCTAGAATACTGCCTCAAGCCGCGTAACTTGTCTGCTATTGTTGAAGCACCAGTAAATAACTCTGGTAGCGGCTGGGTACTTGCCTCCAAGTCGCAGACGGGGTCGGCCGTCGGCGGGGCGGATGATAATGTTTGCTGTATTACAGCACTGGTGGAATCTTTACGGTTTCCAAACAGTGGTTGATCTATAAGAGCCTGGTCTATATTAAGTGGACCCATCATTTCAGGATATTGCATTGGCTCGAATTGCATTAACGAGTGGTAACTACCACCCCCTTAGGACTAATCAGCATTGATCATATGTCAGAAAATATGGTATTACCTTCAAGTCCACGGTGAGGTGGTTTCCAGGGGATCATCTTATATAAATGTTCAGACGAATAAGATGGCTTTTCAAGAATGTCAAACGTTCCATTGGCGCGTAGAACTACCACTCGTGGTGTTAGAGCGGGAGAATCGAGAGTCACCCAATCGAATGATACGATTCTGTCATCTTTTCGCTCTTTTGCATAGTTTATGTCAAGATCATATGACTTCCTAACTTCTAGGACTTCGGGGCTGTCCTTAGGGTGTACCTCGGCTGGTATGAATTCCTTCTTAGTATCGAGGACCTTGAGCTGGCCGGTTCGGGAAAGCACAGCGAGCAGACCAGAACGGTCCCTACAAAAGCGTAACGACCTAATAAATGAGCCCCTATCCTGGAAGTTGGCCTCTTTAACATCAATTGCTTTATCGATGTTGAGTGCTGCTCCCCACGGTAAATCATCCGTATCAACAGCATCGAGGTAGAAGCGAGAGGAAGACGGTCGCGAGGTGGCACGGCGATCCCAAATGACCAAGCCCGGTTTATCTAAAGAAGACGAAGCAAAATAATTCTGGTCGGCGTAATCAATTGCCAAGTTGTTATTGCACTTGGTCTGAAAATTGATCACGGCGCCTTGTGGATCTTGAAGCCAATTAGTAAATTGTACAAAGGATGCCATCTAGAATAAGGTCTACCTCGGAGATCATATATACGAATACCCTGGTTCTTAATCCCGGCAACCAGGACCTGGGGACTGTCTTCGAAGAACTTGGTGCTCGATATGGAGATACTAGCCTCAAGTCCGATCACCGGATTCATGGAACCTTCGAGCGATGCCCATGAAACGTTGGGCTCCAGCGTCGTAAGTCGACTTACGTCGAATATTTTCAAGCACTGGTCATTTCGAACACGTTCTAGTCCAACAGCGAGTAGAGAACCGGTATTAAAAGCTACTGCCTGACAAGTACGAGTAATCCTTATGGGTAGCTCTAGATGAGAGCTGGCATCACCGTGAAGATTTATGATATCCACGGTACCGCTCGCAGTTCCGATGGCAACAAGCCCAGGATGAGCTGGTGACCAGTCGTATGTGGTTAAAGGGGGGATCTCATCATATTTGGATGACTTTTTGAAGTCGAAATTTCCAGGTTGCGCAAGACCTGTAGGTTCATATAGCTGCACGACTCGATGTTGCAAGTTAACATGGAGGAAGGAGTCGTAAGCTGGATTAGAGGACCATTTGATTAGACCTGGCTCTGGTCTATCCATTTTTGCAGTTGTGTATTGAGACATTTCTTCATGAGTTCCGTCGTCACCCAGGTTAGTTTTTTACAAAAGATCAAGAAGGGTGTTGACGTTAATTATTATATGAATCGAACAGGTCGGACAAGAGCCATTCTTTTGTTGACTCCGCATTTCTAGTGCGGGGAGACTTAACAAGCTTCTATACTTGTTATATGTTAGGTAGGAGGTAAGTAATGCTCAAAGTATGTTTGAAAAGAGTTCACTTCAACTCAATGATGTAGAGGGTTTGTTACAGGTAGATCTAGGTAGCACCTTTAGGTAACTTTTGGTGTACATTGAACTTAGGAGCTTCTACGGCCAAGCTGCCAAGCTACCAAAAGTTAGCCTCCTATCGATAAAAACTTGAGCTTAGACCCCGGCCAATGTCATAGTGATCCATTGGCCAATCAGAAACGGTGCTAATCATACATATTCCTGGCACCTAGGTACCTAAGTACCTAAGTACTTTACAACCTACTGGATGTAAGTAGATTTATACAAACGGCAAACGAAGTTATACATAGCATCAAACAAGGCCGAGGAGTAAATAGTATTATGTCTATTAGCGTACCTATTTATGTTTCCAAAAATAGTAGCTGTCTTCGTAGAAAACGGTTACAGTCCCATTGACCTTTGTCATCTAACACGAGTTACTCCGAGGTTTTCTCGGTCTCCGATGGACTCACCCGTCAAGTCAGCAAGGAGTTCCTAATAACATCAATATTAGCTTAGGAGGCGCTTGTTAAATCGTGAGCAGCGTCTCCAATTTTTTAAAGAAGTAAATTTTCGTATTGTCAAAGACTGTAATGTAAACCAAAGCGTGTATACCTAAATTCACTTTCGTTACTCTACCCGGTATACCGCTCTCATATCCCTTCTCTACGCTTACGATGCTCCAGATGTGCAACCATGCACTTGATATAAGGGCACTATATCCTAAGACCGAGTGCAGAGTACCATAATGGAGTTTGGAGTTAAGAAGTTCCATCTCTCTAACTCCGCCGTCTCTGCTTGAGATAGGTTACATGGGTTAAGCAAGTCATAAGAGAGAAGCCTATATTGAAGTTGAACATATAAAGCTTACGGTTGTCCTCCCTAATACCTGGAGTGAATCGAAAAGTCCAACAAAAAAAAAACAAGCATCCTCTCGATTTTTCCCGAAGCTGCTTATTTGTAACGAAGATGGTGAACTTGGCTGAGCACGCTCTGCCGGAGACTTACACCGGCCTACAATTTCACTCATCATCGTCCCCTCCCGTCCTTGCAACATTGCCGACGCCAATTCCTACAGCGGGCACGGTAATTATCAAGCCACTATACTCTATCATTGTACAGTATGCCAACGAAATATTTACGAATGGAAACCCGAGAGGTTATAAATATCCCTTACCGCTGGTACCAGGAGGCTCTTGCATTGCCCGCGTCGCCGCTGTCCCGTCCGACGCTACAAGTCTAAGACCCGGTCAGCTGGTATTTGTGGAATTAACGGTCCGCGGACGGGACGACCCCAATATCAAGATTCTGAGATCATTTCACGAGGGTTACAACGAGGGAACGAGAAAGCTGATGGCATCGGAGGAGTGGCGCAATGGGTGCTGGGCCACGCTATTCGCTGCACCTCTGGAAAGCGTCCACGCTCTAGATGAAGATGTCTTAGTTGGGAAACTGGGATATAAACTTGAAGAGCTTGGTTCGCTTAGCCAGCTAGTGGTACCGTACGGTGGCCTTGCGGATGTTGGCTTAAAACCGGGTGAGACGGTCTTGATCGCCCCAGCTACGGGATCTTTCAGCAGCGCTGCGGTACATGTAGCTCTTTCTATGGGAGCCAGGGTCATCGCCATGGGAAGAAATGAAGAGGCTCTTATGAATCTGAAGAAGCTTGCTGACCCTGGGAGAGTGGAAACTGTCAAAATTAGCGGTGATGTTGAACAAGACGTCGAGGCACTAGCTAAATTCGGGCCATCAGACGTATACTTTGATATTTCTCCACGGCCGGCTAGCAAAAGCTCTCATATCAGAGCTGGTATATTATCTTTGAGGCCTGGAGGTCGAATGAGTCTGATGGGAGGAATCCCCAGTGATATCGAGATTCCTTATTGGCATGTCTCATATAACGGCATCACCATTAAAGGTACATTTATGAACACACCTCAGCAGGCGAAGGATCTGATAAAAACTGTAGAAAGAGGCGTGTTAAAGATTGGTACCAGAGCGGGTATGGAGGCAGCTGGAAAATTTAGACTTGAAGATTGGGAAGAAGCACTTCGTACTGCTGCTGCAAAAGGGGGTCCGGGAAAGAGTGTATATTTCATTCCGAATGGAGAGTAGTATCTTGGCGATCTAGATAATAATTGAGAAGGGTATATCTCATAAGTCTTATAAGATTTATATAAAGCCCGTCGTTACATAATGATAAGAGTAAGTATTGAGAATCGAGTTCCATGCCTGGTTGTATGTTATTCTAGCAGGTCTAGACGGAGGTAGACTAGGAGACTTAGACAGTAGATGCACACTAGTAAAGTTAGCTTGTATAACTATATTGTGCATGTACTAAAGTATTTTTAGGTATGTCAGTACCTAGGTACGTACATAATCTTATCTTAAATCTGAACGATAAACTTTATTAGAAAGTTTATTTTTCGTCGAATCTATTCCTCAACAGCAACGCTCTCCGGATTTGATTCCAAATTAACCCACCTATCCCTGTTCGAAACTCGATAACTGCGCGCACAAGATGAGCTCCAAGAGGAAGTTTTCGGAGTTTACAGCTGACTCTTCTGAACAAGACGGCTCCAACGAGCGCGTTCCAGGGACTCATGCGCCAAACAAGTTCAACAATAAGAAGCCGAAAAAGAACAAGGCAAAACCAGATAACATAAGTTGGCTCAAGAAGCGAGCGCGAACGATCGAGAGACGTTTGAAGATGGGAAAAAGTATGCCAGCAAATGTCGAGATTGAATTGGAGAGGGAGCTAGCCCATCACCAACAAAAGATTGCCGAAACCGTGGATGAGAAAAAGAGGAAGACTATGATAAAGAAGTACCATATGGTTCGCTTTTTTGGTAAAGCTAATTTCCTACACTACAAGATTTTTGATTGTCGGTATTCTAACCATATACGATAGAAAGGAAGAAGGCGGATCGACTAGCGAAGCAAATAAAATCTCAACTGAACACGGCCGAAGACCCCGAAGAGATCGAGAAGCTCAAGGCGGACCTTCATAAGGCCGAAATAGACGGTATATATGCCCGGTATTTTCCTTACAGAGAACGTTACATCAGTCTGTATCCAGTTGGGGAGAAGGCAGAGGATGGAAGCACAGCAGCAAAGGCTTTACGTGCCGAACGGCCACCGCTATGGAAGGTTATAGAAGAGGCATCGGAAAAGGGAACATCAGCATTGGTTGCAATCAGAGAACGCAAACTAGAGAAGGATTCGAAGGGCGAAACAACCAAAGAATCTTCGAAGGGCTCTCTTACGACGAAAGCTAACCAATCCAAGGCAAAGAACTTGGATGCGTCCGATCGTACGAGCGCTCGAAAAAACAAAGGCCAAACCAAGAGAGATAAAACTTCTGATTCTCCTGATTTAAGCGACAATGAGAGCGAAGGTGGATTCTTCGAATAAGGATGGGAGGATTAGCAAAATAGATTATGATACCCAAATACGAGGTGGCGGTTCAATATAGGTTGTTATAAAAGACGTATTATTAGAGGCTCATCGGATCGATACCATGAGTCCACCTGATGTGATATGGTGTTTAGAATTATTCCATCCATTATGGTATTATTTTCCTAACACAATACAATTAAATATTAGCATTGAGATTGCTGCTTATAGGACTTATTAAAATAATAATAGAAATCGTTTCGACTTGAATAAAGTTGAGAGTCTCTTTTTACGGCTTAAAAATAACTAACTAGCTGATAAGATAAGACCAAGCTTAAATCTAACTTATTAGTAAGTGACCATTTGCATGTGCTTGCGTTTCCCAAACCTACCCACTTTCATCATACCTTACATCTCCTTTACCATACCGAATCCCACTGTCATTTCTGAACTTTTCTATACACCAGTGGAGCCAACCACGCGTTATGTATAAAAGATGACAACAGAGGCAGCGTCGCCGAAGAGGCGACACATATTATCCTCAATAAACCCCGACCGCCGCTCAGCGTCACCCAAAATACCAGATGCCAACACGCCTCCGGTCGAGGCCCCACCTCCGGAGCCGCAGCCGGATCAAGAGCAGGTGGAACAGGAAGCTGCGGAACTGAAGGATAGGAAGAAGACGACCAGATTCCGATTTAAGTCGAAGCGTTCGCGACACCACGATGACGACTACGAACGTGAAGGCGAAAGCGAATCACGCCGCCACCGTCATAGACACAGACATCATCATCACGACGACAACGACCACCACAATCACCGCAAACACAAGCGACGGCGCTCGCGCTCCCCCACGCCCCCGAACCCTTTCGAGCCACCGCCCCTCGGATCCGAAGCCGCCTTCCGGGAGTCGCTCTTCGACGCGATGGCGGACGACGAAGGGGCCGCGTACTGGGAGGGCGTGTACGGGCAGCCGATCCACATCTACGCGCAGGAGGCGCGGGCAGGCGCGGGGCCGGACGGGCCGCTAGAGCGGATGGACGACGACGAGTACGCGGCGTACGTGCGGCAGAAGATGTGGGAGAAGACGCACGAGGGGCTCCTGGAGGAGCGGGCGCGGCGCGAGGAGCGCCGGAAGCAGAAGAGCCAGGAGGACGGCGAGAAGAGGCGGCTCGCGCGCGAGATGGAGCGGAGCCTGCGCAGGGGCGAGGAGAGGCGCAGGAAGAGGGGGTGGAAGGAGCGCTGGGAGGAGTACGCGAAGGCGTGGAGGGAGTGGGACGGGTCGATGGGGAGTATGGCTTGGCCGGTGCGCGGGGGGCGGCGCGAAGACGTGGGTGCGGATGCGGATGCGGTCAGGGACTTTTTCGTCCTGGGGATCGATCCCGAAGACGTGGGCGAAGCGGAGTTCCTCGCGAGGTTGAAGGAGGAGCGGGTTCGGTGGCATCCGGATAAGATACAGCAGCGACTTGGCGGACAGGTCGATAGCGCGGTCATGCGCGACGTTACGGCGGTGTTCCAGATTGTGGATAAGTTATGGTCAGATACCCGGTCTAAGGTTCAAGGAGGAAGACGTTCGTAAGAGGAAATATGAGCCTGTGCGAACCTACCCAAAAACATTGATGATATATACCCCGTTTATTGCCATTATAGGTTCGAAGCCTCAGAAGATATTGCAAGGCAGATGTGATGCTTAAGACGCCTGGATGATGGTAGATCGATAAACACAGTCGCGTCCACTCAACAGTATATAATATGGCATGTCGGAGCCCTACTCAGTAGCTACCTGATATAATATAATCTACAATAGATTTCAAAGAAAAACACCATGAGCCCATTTCATGTCCTAAATCTACCTAGGTACCTAAAGTATATCATAACCCTCAATCTCCTAAGGCATAGCGAGAGTTGATCGTCCACCCACCCCTCCCCCTCCCCCCTTTATATATAAAGTATAAGTAATCCCTCCCAATTCCAATAACTATTTATTCTCCTACCTAGGTACCTATATAAAGCACATCGAGATATCTTCATTCAAACACGTACCTACTTAAGTTAAGAGGTAGCTACTATTTCTCCCACACCCAAATTAATCCACCACCTCAAACTCCGCCGTAACGCCCAAATGGTCCGTAATCCAAGGCTTCTCGAACCCCAGCGCGCGGATCCTCTCCCCCTCCTCCTCCCCGCGCACCAGCACATCCCTCCCGAACCTCTCGAACCCGTGCAACCGGAGCCCCCCTCCCGACGTGAAATACACCTTGTCCATGCGCGAGCACCCGAACCGCTCCCGCAGGCTCGTCGCCGCCTGCTGGCCCCACGTGTACCCTTCCTCGCTGTCCTCTCTCCCGCCCGACACCTCGAGGTACGCGTCCCGCAGCCCGTGCGTCGCGTGCAGCGTCCGGTCGACCGCCTCGATCGCGTTGAAGTCCCCCGCCGCGATCCCCGCGTGCACCCCCGCCGCCCGCATGTGCGTCGCCATGACCTGCACTTGCGCGGGTCGCAGCGGCGGCGAGAGAGCTAGCGACTCGAGGTGCGAGTTGCACAGGCGGATGGTCTTTGGCGCCCCACTCCCACCACTGGCACTGGAACTGGTACTATTCAAGACCACGTCTACGAATAGGGCGTCCCGCTCCATGCGCGTCTGCGCGTAGTGCACCCGGAAGCACGCCGCCACACCGAGCCGGCGGTCGACCAGCGTCGTCGTGCCGTAGCACGCCTGCCAATTGCTCCCGTCGACGTCCGTGCGGACGAATCCGCTGCGCACCCAATCCGCCGCGCCGATCGTAGCCAGGTCCTCTTCCACGCACTCCTGCAGGAAGACGACTGCCGCTATGGAGGGCGGCAGGCTGCTGGTTAGGCTGCGAAGGTGCTCGAGCGCGGCGTCCATGCGCGCTTTCGCGAGCGGCAGCATGAAGTCGATGTTCCAGCTGTACACCCGCAGCCTGGTGATTCCGTTTCCGGCGTCATCCCGTTGGTGGAGGGACCGCGGCGTGGGATCTGCTGGTGGTGCGGGCGTCCACGCTTGCGCCGAGCGGTCGTATGTGAAGAGTGGCTGCGCGTGCGGCTGGTCCGGTTTCCACGGGACGGCGCTGAGGGGCTTCTTGGTGGCTTCGTTGCGCTCGAGAACCTTTTTGAGTAGTTCTTCCATGACGAGAAGCCGCGAGCGGGTTATATTCCTCGGTATCCCAGGTTTCGTCGAAAATCGGTGAAGAGATACATTCATGGGCACCTTGTAGGTCATATGAATCCTACCAAGCTGTGAGGATCTAGCTTGCATTATAAGGGTTCTGGTGCATCATATCGCACTATGCGAACTATTCTAATACCGATTATGAGTCCTTGGCTGCTTGAGTCGCAACGCTTTGTCTATTTACCAATGCCCAGGGGATATAAATATAAAGACATTCGATAGGTATTCCATCATGTAATTTAAACGTTCTTCTAGATTAGAATAGCTAGGCTAAGATAGCAAACAAAACCGGGGTATCAATATGCATCAGAGGTTAGATAGTTAAGGGGAAATAGGTACCTAAGTACCAGAAGAAGATCTGGAGATATCTAAGTATCAACCATCTTTTTCAAAAGCGTCATTGAGATATCCCACAAAAGTCTCTCGTATCCTCTCCGGTCCCATATTCCCAACTCCTTCGAGGCCAATTCCTCCTCTATGCAAGCCCATATAAGCCCTTCGCAACCGCTGAAGCTGCGGTAAGCCTACCTTCTTCCCGGCAGGCAGTTCCACGACCAACTCCTCCTCACCAGCGTTGCCGCTACTTCTCGGGATCTTTATGTCGTCTCCGCCTTCGTCGCTTTGCTGGTCTAGTATCCTCTTGACAATCTCCTGCGTCTCCCGGTCGAGCACGTACAAGTAGTCTCCGCCCGTATCTCGGGTCCGCTGCACGGTGGCCTGGTTGGGCCGTACCAGCTTCCGCGCTTCGCCCGCAATCGCGTCCCACAAGCTATCGAAGACCTGCTTCGTCTGCTCCTCGCCGTCTTCCCAGATCAGCGTGAATAAGGGACTATCCCATCTCGTCATGGGATTCGGTTCTTCGTAACGAAACACAAGATTCTCCCAATTTTCCGGCTCGTAAGGGCCCTGTTCTTCATCCTTCTCCTCCTCCTCTTCTTCTTGTTGCTCGTCTGGATTCTTCTCTTCTCCCTCTTTCACAGCATCGCCGGCATTTTCGCTGCTGCGCCGCCGCCGCAATCTTTCTTCGTTGACCTCCTTAGCCTTCTCTTTCGTGCAGCCGATCTGCAGGACGCAGCTCGGCGTGCGCACGGCTTTGGCCTCGCAGAACAGCTGGTACCGCCAGCCCTTGATGTAGTTCAGGCCGTCCAAGATGACGATGTCGCGATCGCTCAGCACGCGCTTGGTAGCGCCGTATATGGCGGCGCGGGCGTCCTTCTCGGACGCATTGGCGGACCTCGTGTGCGCCGGGGTCGCGGACAGATCGTAGACGGAGCGCGATATGGACAGGGTCTGGTCCGAGATCAGGTGCAGTCTGTATTTAGCGGCGGCGGGCGAGGATGAGCTCGCTATGCGCTCGGAGAGGTAGCTGTGCAGCTGCTTTGCGCGCGTGGTCTTGCCGGACGTGGGGAGGCCCGTAACTATGATTAACTGGCGACGACATGTTGTTAATATCGTCTGGTCTGTCTATGATGAGTGCCGCATTTTGGAAAATCAAAAATTTACTTACCGGCATTTTATTTTATTTTAGTTGGCGGATAATCAATGAGATGCTCCTGGGTAGAGGTAGAGTTGGTAAAATTTAAATTTCTTATGTTGTAAAAGTACCCCGCGGCCTCCCGCATCTTTGCTTTTTTAGCTGCCCCTCTTCAACGACCTGCTAACACTGCTGTAGCGTAACGGCTTAGGCCTTGGCAAGCCCCGAAATGGTGGAGACCCTTGCAATTACATAGGGCAGAGAGAAGCTTATTCTTAGTAAAGCATATCCAGGCACGTTTCCTAGGTTATACCTTTAGGTAATGTGTAACCGTTAGTGTGTAATCATCATCATCATCATAATGGTATCTACCTACCTAACCTATTCAAAACTCCAAGGACTAACACTAACATCTAGCTAGGTACATTTATACTGCTTTTGTTTTTTATACATGTTTCCAAAATATTGCCGACACCAATATTATTATTTGGGAATCATCTCATAATCGGCCTCCGACTGGTCAGACTGTCCAGCGGGAGATTTTGTAATCTTAGGCAAAGTCATTCCAATGCTCTCAACAATAGCGACGACGATCATCTCCATAATGACGGACATTCCGAGCTGAATGTTGATATCGCCAGATACTTGGTTGAAGGCCGGGTTGTTTCCGTACAAAGATTCTGCCGAATAGGCTAGTCGGACGAGGATGAAGGGGAGAGAAAGGCCCACGGCCAAAACTAGCCGCTTCGATCCCGCCTCCATGTACGGCATCTGCACCGCGACAAGAGCAGTCGAAAGCGCCAGTAAGATGTACGCGGCAATCATCAAGCCTGTGCCAGCTTGAGAGAGGGTCGAGACGGTGTATTTCCCCGTGTCGGCGAGATCCTGCCCGGACTGACTGCCGCCAATTGCACCTAAGACCAAACCCACAAGCACAATGAGGTGGATAAAACGTATCCGTTGCTCAGTGACAAAACATGTCGTCGACTTTTGGATGTTCTCGGCGGCTCGTCCGATCAGGGCCAGTTGGACCATCATTAGAGGTGACAAGCCAATGTTTTGTAAAGTTGCCGCTCCTATGCGAAGGCGTAGACTTTTCGGGTCGGATATAGTAGCCAGTTGCATTGCTGCTCCGATGATACGGGCCAGTGAAAATATTATCAAATAGAGCCATCCCGAACTACGGCCAAAGCCATGGCGTATGCATAGCCATATCGCGACGAACAGTGCCGGTGTATAGATAGCGATTTCGGCGATGGAGATATCATTTTGCTCAGTTAAGGCCATGGTGAGTGAGGCAGGGAGAGAGAGAGAGAGGAAGAGTAGACGGGATGCTCAAGGTATACGAATAGTTAAGAGGTAGTTATACAGATATATACCTTAGGTACCTAGGTAGGTAGGTACAGTATATAAGTCGTAACTCAAGTGAAATACGAAAGATTGTTGTGAGTTTGTGATGTTCATTTCTACGCAGAACTTACCTTTGTCTTTTATTTATTTATATCAGGTCTCTCCACCGATTAAACTCAGCTGAAGTCCCAGTTTATGAGGATATTCGTTAGACATAGCCCATCTCAGGGTTGGCGTTGACGAGAGCGAGAACGAGAAAGATCCTTGGTCTCAGGTAACGGGGCAGCGTGGATGTTATTGGTCCACCCTAACTAAGCCTCTCAAGCTTCGCCAAGCTTGTTCAAGCGCATGCTAAGCCATTGGCAGGTTGAAACTTCCTGGTCTCAATTTTGTGGAAATTGCTTACGACCAGACAGTTGAGCTATTAAAGTAATTTGAAATAGGCGATATCTTACCGGATTCCCATCGGTACTGCCGTCCACCACTACCATACCTAGGTACTCCCACTTTTGGATTTTTCTTACACAGTAGAAATTATTACTTTAGAAAGAAACAGCACTCCAACACTCTCCAAAAATTTGTTATTGCAGTAGTGCAGGTATGTCATGCCTTTTGCTACATGTTGTTTTTCCAGATGTAACTAGCCGCTGTTCGAAGTTTGAGAATGCATGTTGGTGGCGTTGGGCGGCAGTGAGTGACCATGGAGCGAAACGTCGTGAGGAGGTCTCTTTCTTCAAGCTTCCTTTAAGATGTATTTTACCTTCTCTGTACCCCCCTTCTTCTTGGGTCATGCAATTGAATTAAAACTCTTCTCATTTCATAAATTATATACTACGTCCATCGATTCCTTTTCCTCGATAACATAGGGGCAACCCATCCTATCTTATGACACGCCACCGTTACAGTCCCCTTTCGGGACGCAAACACATCAGACTTGCTATAATTCACCCTGGAAAGTTCGAAGACGAGATTTTCATTTCATTCCAAACCTCAGAATTCCCTGACACCACATCTCCGTATGAAGCTCTCTCATACGTCTGGGGCTCCGACAATAGTTCTCTACTGGTCTACGTTAAATCGGCTGATCTCGCCGTAACCAACGAATCACAGAAAGTCTCGCTGGTAGAATTTGAAAATATCTCGATCACACGAAACTTAGACATTGCTTTAAGATATCTGCGTTATGTTGACACATCACGGGTTGTATGGATTGACGCGCTCTGCATCAACCAAGAGGACGATGTTGAAAAGGGTCCTCAGGTCGCGATGATGAACGACATTTACCGGCTCGCAAGTCGAGTTGTTGCTTGGCTCGGCCCCGAAGAAAACGATAGTAACCGTGCTATGTATCTCATAGGCTATCTCGGGTCTCAGGTCGAAGTCAATCTTTCCAGAAGGAAAATAGTACCAGTAGCAAATTGCCATGATCCCACTATCGGCGACGTCAACGTCCTACTTCCTTTTCGCGAAGAAGATCTCGCCTCGATTTATCACCTCCTGTCCCGGAAGTGGTTCGAAAGGCTATGGATCAGGCAAGAAATATATTTAGCTGGCCCAGAAGCGATTGTTATGTGTGACCTTTATCAGGTCAAGTGGTCAATTTTTCGACGAGGTTTGATGTGTCTCTCTATAAAACTGCCACCGATCCTGGAACACACTGACCTATATGTCGCCCGACTACGTTTCCTGGAGGGATTCATCTTTCACGAGCCGATTGTATATCTAGTGGACATAAAATATATTTTCAACAATGCACAGTGCCTAAATCCGCAGGACCGGCTCTATGCGGTATGGGCATTCTTCACAGACGTCGAAAAGTCGTTCATTCCGCCCCCAGACTATACTCAGCCTTACGAGAAGCTTTATGCGACCGTCATACGAAACTTCATTAACCATTTCGGTTCCTTAAACATTCTTTCCGAGTGTCAGCTACAAGAAACCACATGTCCGAGTTGGGTGCCTGACTGGTCAAAACCTTTTGCCAATTTCTATCGATCTGGTTTAGCCATGGGCTTCCATCGGTTCGCGGCGTGGTACGAATTTCCGGAGCCTGGCGTACTGAGAGTAATGAGTGTACACAAGTGTACCGTCTCGAAAGTCCACCAGGTTCCGCTCATGTTACGCTTTGCTGATGCCACGCTTGAGGGACTGCGAATCTTGTTGACAGCTTTAGATCAAGAGGAGCATCATACGATAGAAGACTATGCTAGATTACTAGTCCACGACATATTCATGCACACGATGGAGCCGCCCGATTCTGCTTTTCCGGATTTCGAAGAATCGAAACGGTGCGTAGAGTTTATCATGTCTGATTCTGATATCAACAGTGCCGAAAATAGGGAGTTCGTGTTTTCCCCAGGCGTTCGCAGATTCCTTTCGTCCGCTAGGAATTTAAAGGGGTTCCAACTCATTCAGTGCACAGGTGGTTATATAGGGACCACCACGGCACCAGTACAGCCCGGCGACGAGGTCCATTTTCTACTTGGCTGCTCTACCCCCTTATTACTTCGTCCGCAAGGCAATTGTAAATTTCGAGTAGTTGGTTCGTGTTTTGTTCTTGAGTTATCGTTCGGCGAACCTTTTCTAGGGCCTATGCCCAACAACATCGTCCCAATCCAAAAGTTTGACGAGAGATATGGCCGCCATGTTCAGGCTTTGAAAGATCTCACTTCGAATGACATATTTTACGAAGACCCGCGTCTGGAATCGCTGCCGATCCCACTGGACCTCACAGAATTTCGCAGACAGCTACAATACAATTGCCTTGCAATGCTTTATATAAAACCAGAGGTACTTAGGGCGTGTGGAGTGGATTTAAATTGTATTGATTTAGTGTAGTTTCTCCTTGTTTTTCTTTTTACAATTATTGTACACTTAGGTATACACCAATTATGAGGTCACTTCCAGAGCCGTGGAATTATATGGTCCAGCCTAAACCCGTCCAGCCGATGTCATCAAAATTCATGGCCTCCATCGGACCCTGAGAAGTCGTGCTGGGGTTAGCCCAGAATCCCGAGTTCGTGGAGGACTCCTGTTCTCTCATACTATACGAAGGGCCATAGCCACTGCTAAAGCCCATGGACCCAGACATTTGAGACAAGTCGGTGTTGCTCAGACCCACGACTTGACTGTCTTGGGGATTATTTAGCTTCGTGTTTAGTATTCTGTCCCGGACATCCGATACGATAAGCGGCGGGACTAGAGATCCGCCCTCCTGTCTCGACAGCGCTTCTCGCGCCTCCCACGCCTTGAGGACGATCCGGGAGAACACGTGGAAAAAGGCCTCGTTGACTTCCGAGTTCATAAATCGGACTCTGTAATTATCGCTCATTGCGTCCCAGGCCTGTTCGGTCTTATCATCGACCGGTCGCTTCTTTAGGCCTTGGAGAAGGTGGATATACGCCGGTAGTGGGAAGTGGTAGGTAATCAACCAACGATATCCTTTTACCACAGGCGAATCCATGAGCTTCGTGTCACACTCGAGCATGTTTATGGCCGAGGAGATGAGTGCGTTGCGCTCTGTGTCTGTCGGTTGTGTGGCCGACGTCAGGTGTCTCGAGTAGTAGTCTAGGATACGAATCTTCGCAAGATATCCTCGCGCGCTCCAGACCGTCATGAAGTGGAGAGGGTTATCTAGATCGCAGAATGCGAGGTACTTGCCTTCTATCGATCTTTCCAAGGCGTCTAATTCGTCGCCTTCCGAGGCGGAGCCTTGCCGGGTGCTTTTGGCAATAGTGCTAAGAGAAGGATTGGTAAACATGATATGAAAGGAGCTATGGCGAACGAAGTCGGCCAGCTCGCTACGCACGACGGCAAAAATGGCCTCGGTGGGTTTCTCGTGGATCGCCAGGGGAATCTTCATCTCCAGCCGGATCTCGGAGTCATACACGTTCACGGGGATCCTACAGTCCCAAGTGGGAGCCAGCGACGCGGTCTTGTAGTCGCAAAGCTCGCTGATGCGGTTGTCGAAGATGATCAACGACCACCATAGCCTCCGACGCATCTCGGCTTCCAGCGCCGTGAACTTGGCACAGGTATACTCGTCGTGGATACCCATGCGGCGCGCGATGCGGACGGCGATGCTGAGCATCGAGGATAGAGACCGCGGGTCTACTTTGGGTCTTACCGAGATCTATAACGCATTAGAGGTGATACTAGATACTAGATACTAGGCAGCTTAGGTTGGGTTAGGGAGGTAATAAATAATCTGAATAGCTTACTAGATAGAGATACAACGCCGTCAAGCAATCTCTGTCAGTATTCTGCAAGAACCTGCAGTTCTGCAAGGCTTGCCGACACCCCAGCTGGTACCGCAGTAGGAGATTATCCCTCGATTCCATAAAGAAGGCATGGCACTCGTCATTAGTGAGGCTAAATACGGACACGCAATAAATACTAAAGATGAGGGCTTCCATGGCGGGATCGATATTCGTGATATGACTCGTAGCGTCGATAATGCGCGCCTGCAGGGTAGGCGTATGCGTGACCTTCAGCAGAGGGTCGACGTTATCCAGGTACACCTGCCAAAGCCTGAAGATGTGTATATGCTCCGGGTGCAGCGTAGAAAGAGCGCGGCCGGTCTGGGGCGCGGCGAACAGGAGGTGGCTGTTATCTTCGCTCTCGTAGATACGATCCCACACTTTGGTGATCATGGGCTGGTGCAGCGAGTCCTTTTTGAAGGACCAGCTGCCGCCGTCGTCGTCGTCGCTCTCCCTGTCGATGTCGGAATCTTCGGAGTCTGACGTCTTTTCTTCGATTGTTAGTACACGTATACCAAAGTATCCAAGTAGGTACACCGTTAGGTTACCTATACTATTAGCACTTGGGTTACGCGTACCTTTTCACTTATAGCCCGCCATATATCCCTATAATGAATTAATAGTTAACCTATTTTACTCTAAATATATATATATATATTACGAAAAGACGGACATACTTAGGCCTAAATGCCAACTCCGGCTTATCCCCCACTTCGTCTCTCGCCGCATCCTGGGGAGTCCTCCGATCACCACTACCATCACCGCTGCCTGCTCCGGTCTTACTACTACTACCACCACCACCATCACCCCCGCCGAGCACGGACTCGAACGGAATGCCGTTCTCCCGGAGCAGGTTCTCATAGTGGCTGAGCCGGTCCACGAGCTCCCGCTTGGGAAAACGCCTGCTGCTGCCGCGGCGGCGCGGCGGCGCAAGCGTGGCCCGCACGCACGGCGCCCGCGAGCGCACGCAGTTCGCGCACGGGAAGACCTTGTCGCATTTCACTTTGCGCTGCTGGCACAGCACGCAGGCGAGGACTCGCGGCGGCTTGGGGGTGGTGGTGGTGGCAGGACTAGTAGTAGAAGTAGAAGTAGAAGTAGTAGGAGTTGGAGTGGTAGTATGCGGTTCTGAGGTAAACATGCTGAAAAAAATAAAAAAATAAAATGAAAACAGAATAAAAAATTGGAAAGGAGAATGATATATAAGGTACCTATATATACCTTAGGTACCTGGTATATATAAAAGGGGGTCGTGAAAAAAATCGTAGCCTAGGACCGCGTCACTATCTTTTCGGAAGTCGAAAGCTCGGACATTTCCTTCTCCGAATATCTAACAACAACGCTCAGTCTCTCTATATGTGAGTTTATGTGAGATTTACAGGAATTCTTCATTTCATATACTAGGTATATATATATATACAACAGCGTAGTTATAAATTATGTACCAATTAGGTTATAAGATGGTCTTTTATAAAAACAAGGGTAAGTCAAGTTATGACAATATCATCAAGTATTACAATGACTCATAAGACTCATAACAAAATACGACACATCAGCAGAACCATGGAAACTCATATGAAAGCAAGCTATTATTAGAGTCCAGCCTACCTAACCTGTGAAGTACTGTAGATATCGTAAAGTGCAATAGGTACACCTACCTGGTACACCTACCTAACCTAACATAATACCTGATTTCTTCTAAGTTCTATAGACCCTAGGGTATCACCCAACGCCGCGCGATGCCAAATTTCCTTTTTACCAATTATCAAAATTGCCAAACCCGCCGCCGCCGCCGCCACCAACAACCTTAGCCTTCTTCTTCGCCGGCTCTTCCCACGTATCGATATCTTCCTCGACGATCTCGTCGTCTTCGTTGCCCCGCTGCTTCATCGCGGCTTGGAGATACTTACCCACGGTGCCGCCACCACCGCCGCCCTGCTCCACCGTGCCGTCCCGCCTCACCCGCTTCCCCGTCCACGTCAGCTGGTCGTCCTCGGTGCCGCCCGCCCTCTCGATCTCCGCCTTCTGCTCCGCCTGCTTCTCCTGCTTGGCCTTCTGCTCCAGGAACTCCCGGAACGGGTCGAGGTAGACGACGACGTCCTTGATCACGATCTTGTTCAAGGGCCGGTCCGAGCCGTCCGTAGGCGCCGCCTCCATCTTGCTCAAGGTGTCCAGCCCCCCCACGACCTTCCCGAAGATGGTGTGTTTCCTGTCGAGATGCTTGGCCGGGCGGTACGTGATGAAGAACTGGCTCGAGTTCGTGTTTTTCCCCTTGTTGGCCATGCTCAGAACGCCCCGGGAGTCGTGCGTTAGCGGCCCCTCGAACTCGTCCTGGAAATTCTTGCCCCATATGCTGGCGCCCCCTCGTCCCGTCCCGGACGGGTCGCCGCCTTGGATCATGAAGTTTTTGATGTTGCGGTGGAACGTGACGCCTTTATAGTAGCCGTTTTGGGCTAACCGGGTAAAGTTCCAAACCGCCTTGGGAGCATATTCGGTATGTAGCTCGATATTTAGATCGCCTAGATTTGTTTCGATCCGTGCGTAGCCTTTGATCTTCACCCTCTTCGGTTTCAACATGTACTCCTCTTCCGTTAGCGTAGCCCGCTCGCCGCTAGTTTCCGGTGTCAACCCCGTACTTGTGAAACTGGCCGCGGCTCTGCCCGTGGTGTGCGTCGCAGCCCTCTCGTTAGGCTTTTTCTCCTGTATCATGGACGACCGAGCGCTACCGTTCTCCGACGTCTTCGTGACTGCTTTAGAAGAACGGTTGACGTCGCCCCTAGCTTCGCGTTCCCTTCTCGCCTTCTCGACGGCCTCTTTCGCTCTTAGGACCTTGTCGCCTACCCTACCCAGAGCGTTGATATTGACGTTGCCTTCTTTCCTTTCCTCCTCCTGCTCCCTGGTCAAGAGCGCATCTCCGCCGTTTTTCAGGTGCTGGAATTGGCTTAGATCCCTGCTAGCGGCGTTCTGGGGATCCTGAAGCGTTATGATGTCCGAGCGGCTGAACTCTGCGTCGTCTACCAAATCTCGCCACATCTTCGCCTTAATGTTCATCCTCTCGACCGTCTCCCAAGCGAACACGTTTGCGTAGGTACCGTGTCGAATCGCGACAACGTGGGTATTGTCGGTAAGAACTTTAAAGGTGACCGGGTCGATAAAATCTCCCTCCCCGTCGCTACCTAACCCGTCGGCGCCCTTGGAGTCGACATCCCCGTTGCGCGCGAAGTTAAGCTTGATGAGGTCACGCGCAGCTAACGGTTCGCCGTTCACCGGGTTGGTCTTGTGGTTCTCGAGCCATTTCGATATGACTTCGACGTCGAATATGGTTCCGTCGGGGGTGCAGACGGGGTTCTTGAAGGGTTGGAGGCTGGCGGCGCAAAAGTTGAAGGGAAGTCGCTTGAAAGATGAAGATGAAGATGAACCGTTAGGACCGGTTCGCGAGCCCGTATTCGCCGAGTAGGCGTCTGAAGATGACCACTCGGAATGCGTGATGTATAGCTTATCCGTACCTTTCCCCATGGCTCAACTCAATCTCGTGATGCGACAGGAAAGGACGCTAGATAAAGATAAATGATAAAGATAAAAAAATAAAATAAAACAAAAACACGAGTCTCCCCAGTGATGCTTACAACGACTGAGACTTGGTCAAAGTAATTCTTTATCTTATCGCAATCCTGGTTACTTTCATATAATTATAAATAATATCTTATATTTGGATCTACCTAGGTACTGGTTAGGTACGAAGTACTCCGTTTCAAAAGTGTATTAATACACATTACACGTATGCGCCTTAGCACTTCTAAGCTGGCTTTAAAGCTGGGTTAGGCTGTGCAATAGTCCCGTTTCAATGCTCTAATTAACGTTAAACGTACCTAGTAGTTAGCGTTAAGAGGTACCAAATCCAAAGCAAACCTTCGTATACACATTAGCCACCTTAACTAAACATTTACGAAAGCTAAGAAGCTACCTAATCTTTTGATTACGTCTACTCTTTTTTTTTCTTTTCTTTTTTTTCCAATGCTGAGGAAAGGGGGCCTTCAACCTATTCTAATCTGACCTAAATCCCGATCCGATTTTATATTTGATGCGTGCTCGTGTGTCTTAGGTAGTTCCAATTCAGCCTTCCGAATAGCGACGACCACGACAAATTTACTCGCCGAGGCTGCCTCGCCCGGCGACTACTGTAGTCTACGAAAACGAAGATGAAAAGCTGGCTCTCCGCTTTGGTCCTCCTGGGCCTGTCCCTCTGGACAGCTCAGGCATTGGAAGTGCAGATTGTACGATACGATTAGTCTCTGTCGCTTTTTTATATTATTCGCTAATACTCTCTTCCTTGTCAGGACAATACCGAGGAGAATCGCCAAAAATGCGCCGGTACGCTTCGTGAATATCAACCGCATAGACGAACCTTACTGATTATAACGAACTAGGCATGTATAGTAAAAGCGCCTGGGGTGGTCCGGTAGATCCGTTTATCCTCACTGTGTTTCCTAACCAGACCGTCGAAGGCGACCAGGACCCTATGGTTAGCTTGGTCATATTCGAATGGAGAGACGAGCCTTTGATCGGTGTCCCCTCGGGCAACGATGCCTACCCGGTACGATTTTTCATCTGCACGCTAGGAACTACAACTAATAGGAAAACCAGAAGCAGTTGATTTGCGACGAAAGCGGCGTTACGAAAGGCCTGTGCAAGGATACGGAGCTAGGCCGATGGATCTTGTCACCTAATGCGACTGAGCTATCCGGCAACTTGATTAAGACCGAAGCTATACACCTGAAGGCGTCGGGCCCGATCCATTATGAAATCAAGAAGACGGGATACTACTGTGTTGCCGCTGTTGGATTTAACACGGATGACTTCATGGGCGTCATAGAATTTCGAGAAGCTTATGGTGAACTTCCCGCAACTCAGATCCCCAAACTTCCGTTTTACGGTGGAATCACCATCCTCTATGCAGTAGTCGTAGTGTATGTTCTTTGAACGAAGCACAAGCGAAGTTGATCACTAATGTTGTGCAGGTTTTGGGGTTTCTTATACTACCAACATAGATACGATATTCGTAAGTAATCGCGGACTTTCCTTCTCGTTCTCGTTCTCAAGACTAACATACTTGTAGTGCCCGTTCAGAATTACATCACTGCTATTCTCGTCTTCCTAGTTATTGAAATGTTGATGACTTGGGGTTTCTATGGTGAGTCCTTTATCAAACACCTTAAGGGGTAAACTCCCTAGCCGCGACTAACTCGACGTAGACTACCTAAACAGGAACGGCTCTAATGTTGGAGCTAAGGTTCTCCTCGTTGTGGTGGCCGTCTTGAACGCTTTCCGCAATTCGTTCTCTTTCTTCCTACTCCTTATCGTGTGTATGGGTTACGGAGTTGTAAAGCCTTCGCTGGGCAAGACGATGGTATATGTACGATGGCTGGCTATTGCCCATTTCATCTTCGGCTTGGTTTACGCTATTACCAGTCTTCTAGTGTCACCGGATACCGCTGGTAAGATTTCTCTAATAGCCTAGGAGCCATATTATACTGACTAAAGCTTGCAGGGCCTCTCGTTCTCCTTATCGTACTCCCGTTGGCAGGTACTTTGACCGCCTTCTACGTGTGGACGCTTAGTTCCCTTAACGCGACCCTTAAGGATCTGCGCGAGCGCAAACAGACCGTAAAAGAATCTATGTACAAGAAACTTTGGTGGTGTATCCTCATCAGCATTCTTGTTATTTTCGGCTTCTTCTTTTTCAACTCTTTATCATTCGCCTCGGCCTCCGACCCGGATTTCGTTCCTTTCCACTGGAAATCGCGATGGTTCATCCTTGACGGATGGCTCAACTTGGTCTACTTCGCCGATGTAGCCTGGATCGCCTATGTATGGAGACCTACGGCGAACAATAGGAGGTTCGCTATGAGTGATGAGATTGCCCAGGACGAGGAGGGTGGATTCGAGTTCGCCGATGTAGGCGCTCCGGATGATTCAGATGAGGACGAAGAAGCCCACATCGGCTCTAAGATCACAAACACGCGTTCAACACCAGCGCCGAGCTATACCCCCGCGGCATCACAGCCCGCACAGAGCAAGGCCCCAGCTAAGGCGGAAACGCCTCGGGATTCCTTTGACGGTGAAACCATATTTGCAGTTGGAGAGGATGGTGACAAATTCAGTGATGACGAAGAAGATGACGACGATGACGATGATGATGAAGAGACGGACCGCGGTGAAGGTTCAAATCTAGTCAAGGGGAAGAAGCAGTAGGGACTGACTTTCTAAGACTTCTCAACCCGGCAAAAGGGAAAATATGGCATCGCTTGCTCTCGTGCTTGGTTGGACTAGCAATACTTTCGTTACTGTACCATTATAGAACTCTTGCGCATGGCGTTGGATTCTGGATTTATTTATTCGTTCCACGGGGGTTGATTCGCATTAAGGCAGGAAAGAATAAAATCCACACGTACGAATAATAGGGGGGGTTTTTTGATGAAGAGGGGCCTTCCGAGTCCGCTTTTTTGTTTTGCGAGTCTTGCAATAGTAAGCCGAGTCGTACGGATATGAAAAAGGAGCATTATTCGAGGCTGTGTTTCTTTATTTTGTATGTACAAACTAGGTAGGTACCTACCTAACCTAAGGTACCACGAGGTAAAATGGCTCCCCGTATACCTAATGAACGGTCCACTGCGAGAATGCCCGGGTTGAAGGATGAGGTAGAGGTTATGTGAAATAGATTTCGTACAGATTAGGGGACTCCCAAGTATAGGAGGTACCTAACCTTAGGTACCTAACATCAGATCGAGTCTAATCCTAAGTTTGTTATTGTACAAGCTAAATACCCGTCGTCCTGATTTTTTTTTTATAGAAAAAAAACCTTTTCCTTTTCGTTCCCCCCTCCCCCCTTAACGACTCCTTAAAAGCTCACATCCCCTCCAAACCCCACGGGCCTGCGCCTGCCGTCGTTCTCCGGCAGTATAGCCAGGACCTTATAAATCTTACCCATGCCGTTCGGGCCGCGATCGACCAGGCGCTTCCAGGAGCGCTCGATCTCCATGGCCTTGGCCTCGGCCTCGGCATCATGTCCCGTTCCCGCGGTCGCCAGCAGCTTCTTCGCCAGCATCTGGGCGCGCTGGCGAACGCCCATGGCCTCGAGGAAGTAGGCCTGGTTGACGGGGCCGTGGCACTCGACGGCGGGGCTCGCGCGGGTGGCGGCGTCGACGAGGGCGCCGAAGTCGACGTCGGCGCTCAGGTCGACGAGGCCGGGGGCGGAGAAGGGGCTCACGCGCCGGTGGCGGCGGATGCCGCGCAGCGAGTTGGCGGGGATGGTGGAGGCCGGGCCGTAGTCGATGATGAGGGCGGCGCCGGAGGGGTGTGGTTTATGGGATGGAGGGGAGGTGGCAGGGGTAGGGGTAGGGGTAGCAGAGGGGGAAGAGGAAGAGGAAGGGAAAGGGGAGATGGGGGAGCCGCCGATGCGGGTGGCGAAGTCGGCCGCGTACATGGACGAGTCGGGACATACCTCGATGAGAGCGCCCGGGACGGATTTCAGCGCCTTGTACCGCGGGGACGACTCGGGCAGGTATTGCGCGTGCCGGGTCACGGAGGGGCTGAGGGTGAGCTGAAACTCGGGGACGGGGTCGTGGCGCTCGGCCTGAGGGGTTTTGAGGTCGTCGTGCGTTGTGCCCTTGGGCGTGGGGGAGACGACCATCTCTCGCCATTGGCGATTGGGAGAAGTGGTGGTGGTGGTGGTGGTGGGATTTGCTGTAGTTGAGTTCTTGACGTCGCTATTAATATTATTTCGTGTCGTTGTAGTAGTAGATTGCTCAGTCGGTGGTAGATCAACCAGCTGGAATGCGTGAATAGGCAATGCGTCGAAGAACTCGTGAGCAACTATGAATGGAGTTTTGGAGGGGTCCTGAGGAATAGCCTTGATAGAATCTGTCCACACGATAGGTAGGCCGTTATACTTAGACGTGCTGTGCCAGCCTATTTCAGACGGCGTCATGACGGCATCCTCACCGCAGAGTAGATTCTTTTGCGCCGTGCGCAACTCCTTGCTAGCTTCGACCATGTAGATAGTTTCTATACTAGCAGCCATATCTTTGAAATTTCTTATAGTCTATGAGTAAAGTTAGATTTATATGAGCAATCGCGTCTCACTTTACCGATGGCTATACTCACTCGTAACATATCGTCCATCAGCGTCCCCCTACCCGGGCCAACTTCGATAAACTGTACGCCCTTTGGACGACCTTGAGACATCCATTCGGCTACGAACCATATGCCAACCAGTTCGCCGAAGATCTGTGAGATTTCGGGAGATGTTATGAAATCACCTTTCCTACCAAACTGATCGCGGTCGGCTTCTATAGCTCCTGTATAGTATCCACCGACATCAGATGTAAGACACATGCGCATATAGCTAGCAAGGGGAATAGGTCCAGTTATCTAGAGAATATGTATAAGTCTATTACAATTTTTAATATACTTATTTTAGACAACTTACATTTATAGCGCTGGCCAATTGCTCTGCTAGTGGCGTCGACCATTTTCTTTTTTCTCTAGACGTTGGCGTAGCTGTGAAGCATCTATAGCTTTGATATGCGACTCTGGGATTATGAGATAATGGCCGTCGTGATAAATATCTGAGCCCGCATTGGGCCGTTCTTAATAACACGTTCGATCTCATTTTCGAGTCGGGAACTACCTAATGCATCACGAAGACGCGGAAAGGGACTTTATAAAATTTCATAAGTCATGTTCATAATTTTAAGAATTAAAGAAGACTTACTGACGTTTTGTATAATTAACGGGTATTGAGCTTGAGCTCCAAAGCCAGGTATTGTATTGTACAAACGCTACGAAATTTAGTTCCGAGCATTCCCCGAACATCAAAATTACGTAGGAGGTACCATAGTAGATCCAACCTTCCCTCCATCTTCCATAAAAAAAGGTACCTACCTCCTAACATATAAGTCATATAAATCATATCTTATCCTTATGGAACAATTAGTTATGCATATTTTAGTTTAACGAATCTTATACCAAATGCAAGAATACTTAATCTCCGGTTTACAGGTATAATACAAATAATCAATCTTACCTCTGACACCCTCACGTTTTCATGCGCGACGATACTACGAAACCATACTCTACCATTTCGCACCACCACCCTTACCACGCTAATCATCATCGACACAAATCATAACCATGGCGAGTAAATCTCGCTGGGCGGATACGGAAGAGGACGCAGCTTTAGAAGCAAAGAGGAAGCGCGAAAAGGAGGAGAAGAAACGCTTAAAAGCAGAAAAGGCACAAAAGGCGGAAGCAGAGCGCCGCGCGCAAGCAGAAGCAGCTAGAGAACGAGCCGCCGAAGAACAACAACAGCAACAACAACAACACCTACAACCACCAGACGATAGCATACCACCTACCAAGCGACGGAAAATAACGCCCGAACGAGATGAGCAAGAAAAAGACGGAACAGCCGAAAACGAGAGCAACGCAAAACTGCTGCGCTTCGAGGCCGGCGGCTGGGGCAAGTCGCGAAGCGTGGAGAACTACGATAAGCTGAACGACATCGAGGAGGGGGCGTACGGCTGGGTAGCGCGGGCGAAGGAGATCAAGACGGGCAAGGTAGTAGCGCTGAAGCGACTCAAGTTCGACCCGAACGACACGACGGGCCTGCCGGAGACGGGGCTCCGCGAGATCCAGATCCTCAAGGACTGCTCGCACCGGAACATCGTGTCGCTGCGCGAGGTCGTGGTCGGCGACGACACCTCGCGCATCGAGAACATCTTCCTGGTGCTCGAGTTCCTCGAGCACGACCTCATGTCCGTGCTTGGCGACATGCCCGAGCCCTTCCTCGCCTCCGAGGTCAAGACCCTGCTCCTCCAGCTCGCCAGCGGCGTCGCCTACCTGCACGACCACTGGATCCTGCACCGCGACCTCAAGACCTCCAACCTGCTGCTCAACAACCGCGGCCAGCTCAAGATCGCCGACTTCGGCATGGCCCGCTACGTCGGCGACCCCCCGCCCCCGAAGCTCACCCAGCTCGTCGTCACCCTCTGGTACCGCGCCCCCGAGCTGCTCCTCGGCGCCAAGACCTACGGCGCCGCCGTCGACATGTGGAGCGTCGGCTGCATCTTCGGCGAGCTGCTGACGCGCGAGCCCCTGCTCCAGGGCAAGAACGAGGTCGACGAGCTCGCCAAGATCTTCGAGCTCTGCGGCATCCCGACCGACGACGCCTGGCCCGGCTTCCGCCGCCTGCCCAACGCGCGCCACCTGCGCCTGCCGCCGAGCTCGCGCGCCAACACGCGGCCCGTCGTCCGCGCGCGCTTCCCGCTCCTCACGGCCGCCGGCAGCGCCCTCCTCGCCAGCCTGCTGTCCCTGAACCCGGACCGCCGGCCCTCGGCGCGCGAGATGCTGGACCACGAGTTCTTCCGCCAGGACCCGAAGCCCAAGCACGAGGCCATGTTCCCGACGTTCCCAAGCAAGGCCGGGCAGGAGCGCCGCCGCCGGAGGTCGACCCCGAACGCGCCGGGCCGCGGGCAGAAGGCCGCCGACCTGGGCGCCGTCGATTTCAGCGGGTTGTTCGCGGCGCGGGAGAAGGAGGAGCGGGGAGGTGGGTTCTCGCTTCGGATGGTGTGAAATTTACGACGGGGTAGTTGTTACCTACCTAGGTACCTACACTAGGTTATATATATATATATATAAGGTATATATACCTGCCTCGTATGAAAACTTAATATACCTCGTACTTATGAGGACGAAATGAAATCTATAATATACCAAAACATTGCGAAATACGAAGTCACGCAGAGACAAAAGTTGAGAGAAATTATTTAGCAACCTGATTTGGTGTGTGTATGTATGTGTGTGTGTGTGTGTGTGTGTGTGTTGTCATTAAGAGCTACATAGTTCCGATGCCGTAAGATGTTCTATGTAAATAGAATGTAGGTAAATAAGTAAATAGATCTTTCGCCATTTTTTGAAATCCGTGCCGGAAAGAGTTCTCCTCAATTCATTATTAACAAAAAACGCCACTGCATGATGATGGTTTGTATCCTTAACTTTAAAAAACCCCAGATAGATTAGACGGATGGATTTGCCGTGCTTGAAAAACTTTGCTCTCTTTCTCTCCCTCTCTCTATCTCTTCTTCTTTCTCTTCCTCTCTTCATTAAGATCCTGTCTCGTATTTTCCGAAATATATGCAGTCAGAAATTTACCCATGTCTCTCTTTCTCTTTCTCCATTTTACTGCATCCTCATGAGCAGTAGACCGTGGCATTAGTAGTAGTAGTAGTAATAGCAACTGTAAAACTAACCGGAACTGACTACAGCAACGCAGCAATTCCCGTCACGTACCACGTGAAACTAAGAACGGTGATGATGCTCATGGTTATCGCGAAACCGATAGCCTGGCGGTCGACGTCTCCCAGCGCGCCGCTGCAGGTCGCGCACTTCCATTCGCCGAGATCCTCGTACGGCCGGGCCGTGTACAGGCCGAACTGGAAGCCGTCGAAGGGGGCGAGGTAGCCGGCTTCGGCGGTCGCGTCGACGGAAGAGTCCGAGTCGTGGATCAGCAGGGTGTACTGCGCAACTAACAAAGGGCTGGCCACCGCGCTCTCCGAGTACTTCTCCGTGTCCCAGGTGAAGGTGGCCGTCGGCTCGAACGTCATGTTCTGCGTCAGGGTCCAGGTCTGGGAGGCCGTGGAGCACGAGACCAGCACGTCGATGGCTGTGGGCGTGCCCTGCAGCGAGGTGTAGTTCCAGACCCAGGTGATCGGCGTCGGGTCCCCGATCCTGTAAAGCGTCGTTCCCGCCGTGGTGGCCGGCGTGATCATGGCGACGCCGCCGGCTGGGTCCATAGCATCGTACGTCTTATGCGTGGGCTTGGCGGTGCTATTGCTATGGGGGTTCGCCGAAGCAGTGTTAAGGTTTGTAGTCTGGGGTTTGTCTGATTCGGGTGCTTTGGTAGCCTTGCTGTCGTCCGTCGTTTTCGTCGGCGGCACAGAGCTCTCTTTGTCGGCAGGTGCAGAAGTTTCTGTGGGTGTAGCCGAGGCATCGGCTGTTTCAATGCGCTTGTCAGTCAAATCCAATTCCAAACCCCATTGCTATGTTACCGGAGAATTATATATAGGTTAGATAGGTATATAAATATAATACGTACGCGACGAGTCGTCTTGTCGAACTACAAGCGTGTCTACATCAGGAAGCCAACCAGGCCATGCCGACGTTAGAGGGGTTAAAGCGAGGGCGAGGGTCAAAAATTGACTAAGACTCTGTGCACCCTTCATCTTGATTCAAAACGATGGACTGCCCGATAGAAGGGAGGGTGACGTTTAACAAGCCGATTAAATCCGATGTGGTGCAGGGAATAATTATAAATAAATAAAAAACGCCACAAATAAATAAACACTCGGAAATCCAATGATGACTTCTATTATTTCCTCTCTTTCAAAATTGATCGTGAACGTGAACGAGAAAATTAGTTGCTCGCGTTGTCGCCGCTGCCGCTTCGGTTACTTCGATCGCCCCTATTTTCCTCCCGTTGTTGATACGAGGTGGTGTGGATGCTGGGGAAAACGGTACAAAAACGCAACAAATTCGGATTCCCTTAACAAGCGTATTCGGACGGTGATCGGGAGAGGAGGGGAATTATTACTCAAAACCAAGCGAATGTTGTGGTGAGTTAGTTGAGGGGGGCGTATATTAAAGCGAACGACAGGTTTAACGATGAGGGAAAAATGAGGTTTTGTCAATTCATCGAGGAGAAACGAGAGGGTGGGAAAGGATTTGGGACGAAAGGAAGGATAAGGTAAGGATAAAGTGAATACGAAAAGACGAGATGATGGGCTCACGCTAACGGGGGTTACCACTAAAACGCTTACCGTACATGTAGGTACCTCTTTGCATTTTCCCGCTAAGCCTCTGGAGTTAGAAGATTCGATTCGATTGGCCCGGGGTCGAGCGATGAACACGAAGTGCTTAACAGTGCTTAGCAGCACCATGACATGGGGCTGTCTTACCAGAAAAGGTATGGTGGCATATGGTAGGTGCGCAGGTGCGGTAATCGGGTTACACTACAGGCCCGGGCAAGGCAAGAACAGGGCACCACAAAGGGTATCGCAGGGGCCTACTCCGGTTACTACAGCGGGTGATGACTGGCTGCCAGTGAGATTCCTTCCCTATTAGTTATTCCCTATTAGCGGCGTACCTTAGGGGAAAGTACCCGGAACCTTCCATGAACTTGGATCAGGCGCCACTGTGCCAGGGCTGCTTGATCCAGAACTCGTATCTCAGTGATTCGCATTACGATACTACACTAACCTACCTACCTACATAGTAAGTAGTATTATGTATTCCAGAGTTCTCTTATTCTCTCGTTGGCGGAATTGAATTTATATATGTACGGAATTCCACTTGGCCAACACGAATTCAAGGTTTAACCACCACTACCACTACAATATGTGCTGTAAGTCACCGTACCGAGGTTGTGTCCTACTTTCTAAGACACCAAGTATGTGTTCGACTTTTTAAGATCGGGTGGCATGCCATAAAAAGCGCCTGTCTTGGTGGATCCACACCAACGTCACGTCTTCTAATGTATGTATTAGCCGATAGGTAAAGGCTCGTTAAACCTAAAAATAGGACGGTTTTCCAGTCTTAGCCGCTTGGTTAGTCGAATACCCGAGAAAGAGTCTCTGCTGATCATACAACTTCAGCTCAGTTGACGTTTAGCAAGTTCTACCACACATCAGCTCTAGTGTATTGCCTATCCTACGTTATTTTTGCTTGGCAAAGATATATATCATCAGATTCCAAAGTAAAGCCCAGAAAGACCAACTTGACCTTAGCTTCGAGGAGGATGCTTATATAAAGTACGCGGGGCATCAAACTTTGATCCAGAAGCTTCGCCGAAACATACATATCTCGAAGACGCACTACTGAGCGACTTAGAGATACTCTAGACCCTATTGGCATTGATTGAATCCATAGGTAACACCAAGTCTCTTTCCTCGGTTCCCAGCCTCATAGCTTGGTAGTCGGCATGGGTTTTGACTACCTAAGTTATGAATAATGGGCCAAAGACATTGCCAAATAGAGACTATAGAGTATGTATTAATTTTACGGGTGACTTGTGAGTTTACGTAGTCCAGATATCATTTTAAAGTAGCTCTCTGTAGTGGTTTCTTTCTTGTTCTCAACATGCTTTAGAGTATCGTAAAATTTACCTGCTCGTTGAATAGTGTTATGTGCTGCGGTTAATGGAGTTGTCATCCTATGCGATCGTTATCACCTTATAGAATATGTTGTTAATAAAGTGTTCATGCTAAATGATAAAGAGCTTCCGTTGATGGAGGCCGGATTGTTATTAGATACCTAGTTTACGTATCACTCGTTTCAAAAGCAATTTTCTAGCAATCGGATGATATCCTAGGTTACAAATTTTGATCATTGGGTATAGCTACTTAGAATAGATGATAAGTGTCAAACTTTTTATTTGCGCTTCATAAAATTGATGGGTGTTTGCAGGTACTTTTACAGACATTTCCTATTAGTCCCCGTTAGATATATTGTTTACCCCTCTAGTTCCTTGCCATCCTTATAGTACCTGGACGTTTCATAGGTAAGGTAATGTAGACTGTAAGGGATACATTAGATAGGTACATAAAATAGTTGTTATCGAGCCCCTATTTTATTTTATCTTATTTTATTTTATTGTTATATCATTACGGGCTAATTTCCTACCCGTAACTTGTATTGTGCGTTGCCTAAGTGAGTGCGTTGTTTGATTCCTCGCGTCCACTGCGGTTACCGTAGAACTTCGGTGCTTGTATCAACCCATACAGTACGTGGTTTTGATTTGGAGAGCTGCCTAACTCCTCACCATCTCCTACTTCTCAACGCACAATCGTTGCCATTTCATCCAATAAGCTTTTTCTTCGCCACGTTGAGGAAATTTGTTCTCAGTCTAGCATTTCTTCCCTTCTATTATTTTTTCTGTCTCCTCTGGAGTACCGGTACCATGGCAGCGCCGCGAGATACCGTCGTGCTGGATAGAGCGAACTTTGAGGTTCTTGTGCAACGGTACGTCAATGCGAAGGGAACCCTAAGGAGATTACCAGGCGAGAGGCTGTACCCTTAGCATGGCAAGCTAACATGATATCCTTCGATAGAGCGAAAGCCGTGAGTGGTACCCCTTTATGGCCCAGATGGGTCACCAGCTTCCTGACCTTATTATTACCTAGGTTACCGATTACCAGCTCGGGCGTAATCATACTCTAGTGGAAATGAGTCCGCTTATGTGCCTTCCCATGGACGAGTATGAGGATCTGGTGCTTTCTTATCGCAAACACGGTACCTATATCCCCTCTTTAAATAGCCTGTCCAAGGTCCTCGGGACTTATCCTAACCTCTTGCTAGCAAACCTGGTACGCCGCCTTATGCAAGAAGGCTTGGCCGAGGAGCACCTTGAAGTAAGTGTTACTATCCTTATGAATCTTCTCTGGTTGTGAGGTAAGATCATATCCTGAGGAATTCACCATGGTCACCCCACGTAGCAGAATATATCGTCAGGAGCTAACTAGCAACAGGCCTTAAGTCAGGATGATCCTCATGGACCACAGGCCAGCAAGGTCACGCCCGATATCGTCCCTCGTCCAGTGAGAAGCAACTCATACATCGCTCCTCACAAGCGTAAAGAGGACTATGTACATTCCTCAGACAGTCCAGCAACGTCCAGACCCACGCCATTAGGTATACAGCTACAATCCAAGGAGCCGTGGCGTCATGATACAGATGGAAATAGGGGTCTGGTTAGCCTTTATTTTAAAGGTATTGCGCCCGGTTGTACCTACTGGGACGTCACCAGCGCCATTCGTGGCGGCGCTTTGGCACATATGCGATTGGTACCGGCCACCGAGGAAGGGTTTGTGTCCTTCGTCAAGGAAGAAGAAGCTATGTCGTTTTACTCCCACGTAAGGAAAAACGAGCTCTACATCAAGAATAGAAGGGTTTGTTATATTGACTGCCTGCTTACCTAGGCATTTTCCTTGTTGGGTTGAGTTGTCTAACTATTCACTAGATCAACGTCACATGGGCGAGACATCAACGTTACACCAATGGCGAAGTAGCTGCTCAGATCCGTCGCGGCGCAAGCAGAAACCTCGTTATCACGGACTGCGAAAGGAAGATCACCGAGCGGGAGATTAGAGACGATCTAGAGCATATTGACATGCTTGTCATAATCAAGGTTATATTTCTGAATGGCCATTGCCACATCAAGACCAGTTCGATCTTCGACGCACTCGTTGCTAAGATGTGCATGCAGAGCAGACGGTGAGCTCCCCCTTCCTCCCTAATGACCCCCTTTTTGCGCAAAGCGAACCTGGCTAATAGGTGTTGTCTATTAGAAAGTACAAGCCGTGGACAATTCAATGGGACCGTGATGAATGTTCCGCGCCATATGACGAGCCCCAGGAGTCACGTCCTACAAAGCAGGAGACAGGTACTCCCAAGGAAAAGGTTGCTGGCAGCAGAGGCCACAATCGGTTTGCTTCGCTTCGCAGTGACGATGATGACAATGCATAATAAGGAGGGTCGATTCCGTTGCGTGTTTTATATGAAACCACGATGATACCTATTGTATGGCTGGCTTAGGCCATGCAAGAAAGAGTGTTGTTTTAGGGCTGAGAAGTCTATTGTTTTCTTTTATTGAATTTTCTTTACTTTGCACATTTGCACGAGTTATGAACGAGCTTTTTTTTTATTAGTTGTAGGAAAATTACTAGGTTTAGGTGTGAGCATTTGCAATCGAGTTGTTTGAATGAGAGTGTGCGAGCCACCCCAACTACATGTTGGCATCAGTGTGTCTGTCTAATGCTTGATGAATCTTGTTTCATACCTCATGTATCTACCTAGCATAAGGGCAGGTAGAGGTATCTATCTACCTTATGTACCTACCTACATAGATAAGTGCATAGGAGGTTGCTAATTCATATGTTCATATGTACCCCTAACCAGACTTACATTCTTCTAGAGCGATTCACTGATTACTGGCTGTCACAATCCTTGCCGAAAATTAAGGACCCTGTTTTCCAAGCCCACTTTGGTCCCGGTACTACGGCACCTCTGTGGAGCTTGCGTAACAACCCCAAGGAGCTAATCCCGGGAGTTATTTTTAGAATGCAGCAAGATAAATGACCTAGGTACCTGATGTATATGAATCTTCAATAAATACCTATAGTACCTACTTAGGTAATGATACCTCTAATGAGACACAAAATACCTGTGATTCTCGTTTGTAGTCGGGTAAGTTGTTAGACCGGACCTGGGTTATATACCTTATGCAAAGCAAGTATTGACAGTTGAACTTTTCTATATAGAAGCACAACTTATGATAGTACCCAAGTAGGCCAATACATTATGTCCATCAATATGGATTCGATTCCATATAGCCCGTAAATTCTGAGGTATTACGTAGGGCCAAATGTAATACATGTCCTTATTACCTATTGTTCATGTTCAGTACATATCATTTGTCGGAAGAGTCAATTCTTGTTCTTGTAGTTAAAATCATACGCCACAATAACTTGAAATAGTTTCATATGCAATCTTTAGAGGAAACCTTGATAACTCTTATGGGGTTTGTTTGTTAATCTAGCAATAGAAACAATGAGCAATGCAACTATCTCTCAAGTTCTTGAAATGCGACCGTGGATAAAATTACATAAATTACAAAGAGATCTAAGGTTCATTTCATGTCCAACTGAAAATTCTTGCTGCACAGCTGCCCAGGTGGGGTACATATGTACCTGTGTACGTAATTTTACTGTGCTGTGTACATGTGTTGTACCTTGTATAAGGGGCTTGGCAGGTTCCAGATGCAATCAGCACTGGCCACGTTCTACAACTTTTAAGCTTATCAGCCACAAACACCTCATTATCGTTCTTCGCTCCCCACATCGGCAGATCCAACCTACCTAACTGTCAACTCAGCAACTCCCAAAAGACTCTCCATTCACTTCTCATCATTCCTTTTTTTTACGCAGCACCAAGAACCTGACTTGCAATCAATCATATATCATATTTCAAAGTGACTCATCAAATTATTATTCAATTGATAATAGTATATTTTTGTTTTTTTCGTTTCGGTTTTCTTTTTTCTTTTTTCCAGCGTAGCCGCGCCTGTCCAGCTTTAAAAGGCAAGCAACCACGCCACCCCTCACCTAACGCCTACTTATCGCGCCGTCCTATAATTGGTCGGCATTCTACTTCAACACAACATTCTGCCCAACCTGTGGTCATGCAAGGAAGTAAAGTTCAGTATGGCGCAAGACAAAATGACATTAGAAGACTGTACGTATCGCCGCTTTCTTAATTTGCTCTCCTAGAGGTGATATCCTTTTGATCTCGATCTGTCATGATCTTGGCCGTTGATCTGGCCGTTGATGCTAGCGCGGCGTTCAAGCGCGTCATATTTATTCATGAGGTTCGCTTGAGGTTCGCGAGGTATTGGCTAACATCGTTTCTTAGGGCTGGACGACCTCTGCGTCCGATTCATCATAAACCTCCCCCGAGAAGACCTCTCCTCAGTAGCACGTATCTGCTTCCAAATTGAAGAAGCACAATGGTTTTACGAAGATTTCATCCGACCTCTAGATCCTACCCTACCCTCCATGTCCCTGCGGAGCTTTAGTCTTAAAATGTTCCAGCACTGCCCTCTACTTGCTTCCTTCTCCGCAGATGTTCACATCAAAGCTTTTGAAGAGTTTATGCAGTACAAGACAAGGGTTCCCGTTCGGGGAGCAGTTATGCTCAACGATAATATGGATGCCGCCGTTCTCGTCCGGGGTTACAAGAAAGGAGCGAGTTGGAGTTTCCCACGAGGAAAAATAAATAAAGACGAAGACGATCTTGACTGCGCTATTCGTGAGGTTTACGAAGAGACGGGCTATGATCTCCGGGAAGCTGGTCTTGTTGAGAAGAATGAACCAGTCCACCCCCTCGAGGTTACTATGCATGACCAACAGGTCCGGCTCTATGTGTTTCGCGGCATACCGGAGGATACTATCTTTGAAACAAGGACCAGGAAGGAAATCGGCGGTATCAAGTGGTACAAAGTAGAAGAACTACCGGCGTATCGCAAGAAGAAGGGGGCTGGCAAGAATGGGGTTGGAGGCCCGTCCAATGAGAAGTTTTACATGGTCGCCCCGTTCATGGTCCAGCTACGACAATGGGTAATGAAACAAAAGAAGCTAGACGCGCAGAAATTTGGACATCCCAACGCTCATAACCATCCACAGCTCTACGAGGAGAATTTCACAGATGACAATATCGCCCACCAACCAGTCCAGGTACCACCCACCGCAGGCTCGAACTTGGAATACATCGATAGTGCAACAAAGGAGCTGCATAGGTTGCTCAAGGTTAAACCACCTACCCAGGGTCTTCAAATATTATCGCCGACTTCAGACCAGCAAGCTGGACAGGCTCTACTGTCTCTACTACGACCAAAGGCATCAAATGATGAGGAAGCGTCTCGACAAGCACAAGGAGGGAACACTCGTATACCATTTGATCCCTCCTCTAGCAAAGCCCCTGAACCCGTGGCTCCGCCGCATCATCATCACCATCACGAACAACATATACCTGTCTCCAGTTTCGCAGGAGTGCGGCACGTTCCGGCGAATCTAAACCTACATTATGGAACATCACGACTGGCAAGCGAAGCAAACCCGAACCCAAGCTACGCTCAACATCGGGCCCGCCCACACGTCAACATCACTACGGAGCTTCCTGGCCCTCCATCGTCCCTAGAACAACCTCGTCAACCACAGAAAGAGCCGGTACAACTCGTTCACCCTCAGCCGTTACCACCGCAGGTACAAAAAGCTATGCTCCTGCGTGGCATGGCTTCTTCCCCACAGGTTACAGATAATACGGCTGGCCGACCAGGACTTCCCAGAGCACCCCAAGGAAACCAAGGTAATCAATACGGTACATACGGTCCCCAGGCTCACAACTATGGCCCGCAAGGTTTGTACCCTGAGGGGATACCGCCTACTGAGCTACCTGCGCATCCAGCCAACTTGTTGAATGTCCTAAAGGGTGGCACAGCACAACCAGATGTGAATCAAGGTCTTGTGCCGGAACTACCAGGACAGGCTGCGAACATGCCAATGGCCCCAAACCCTCAACACCACTTCCCCGCACCGGGTAATGCGTTTGCTAGCCAATACGAAGCTACGGCCATGCTTTCTAGCCTGAACAATCTATCAATAAATAATGGTCATGCCATATCATCAGGGCCATCATCAGGGCCTGGAGCTAGACCTAACCTCCCGACCGATAAACATCGCACAGATCTCCTCAATATGTTCAAGAAGACGGAGTCGTTGGCATCACAAAATGAGGTGGATAGGGAGATGGTAGCCCAACGATCTTCCCGATTAAGCGAAGGCGAGAGGCAACAATGGCCTAGCCAGTCTCACTCCACTGCTGGTTCCGTACGATCTGCGGCCCACGAGAATAATCGTCCCGTGCAAATGAACCCCGAAGCTAACCTTCCGTTCCGAGCACTTACCATATTGTCTCGGCCTCAACCCGGGCAACAGTCGCCGACTCAGAATAGGGTAGCTTCGGCTACCGGGTCAGAAACAGGTCGATATCCAGCTACGACGTCGCAGCTTAGTCACAGGTCGTTCAACAGGGCGTCGCCCCCTTATACGAATTCGTCCCCAAGACCTTATCAGTTGGTGCCGCAGAAGACGCAACAATTGGGGCGGTCATCACCGCGGACCTACGCAGATTCAACTCACTCTTACCCATACGGCACCTCGCAAGGGAGTCAGCACAATGCACTATCGCTACTTCAAGGTCCCCCTTCTGCATCAGCATTACCAGTTCCGGGTAGCATACAGTTTCGACAAGACTCGACTGCGGAGCAGAAGAGCACACTTTTATCGCTCTTTGGAAAATCACCTTCGAATTTCGAACAGACCAAAGGGAAAGAGCCAGCGAGTGTCGACCAATTCGGTGCCAGCGCAGCGCCACGATCTCGGCTGGGCTCAGTTGCTTCTAGCGGAGGCGATGGGAGATCGGGCTTGCGGGGGAGCGTATCGACGCGTGAGAGCCAGGCTCCCTTGTCGTCAGCAGATCGGAACTTCCTATTAAATTTCTTAGAGAACGCATCTAACAGTGCTTCGCGTTGATGGTGCGTATTCGCTCAGGAAGGGTCATAGAATAAAGGGCTTTATGATCTAAGGATGGGCGGATTTTCAGATGGAGGCGGGAAATAAGAAATATGGGAAGGTTAGCTCTCAGGGGGCTAGCGATGAGCATCAGTATACCCCCCTATCAATGCAAGCTAGAAAATTGCATTGCTAATATATAGGCGTCGGAACTTTCTTTTTCTTCTCCGGGAGCTACATGATTTTAAAGCCTTATATGCGATAGTATTTGCGAATCTTTTCATCTTATTTGTGGATGAAGATGATGATACCATATGCAGTGCAGCTTTGTTTTTACGCGTTTACTTTAATATACTTGTTATCCACATTACCAATCTCGATGCATCTACTGTAAGTTGATGTGTTATTCCGAAGATTCACTAACTTTATTCTTGGATTTGCCTTCTTCACTATTAGGTATATTTTATTATCTGGTTCATGTTGTGTCACTGAAGTATGTAAACCGATTTGATCTACATAGTACGGAGTAGATACCGGAGGGAAAGTGCTCCCATTATTTTAGGTAAGTTGTCATCACATGCGACTGCTAAGAATAGTACGTAGCCTTAAGCTGAGAACCCGGGTGCCCCACCAACGGAACTAGTAGTTTACCTGGTACCTTTTAGATATGTATACATCATATGTACAAAATGTACAAAGAACGCGTGCGTTGTCTTACCAACTCGACAACCTCCAAACGTTAACAAAACAAAGCTCCTCTTAACTTACTCAATCGCTGACATTCTTTGGGTTTTACCACCATCTTCCGTCCAAGATAAAGCACCTACCTATACTTACAATAACTAAGGCTTACTTACCACTACCACCACCACCAACTTTTTTCCCCCAAAAATGGCGCGACTAGCCCAGGCGCCCATCACCCCGAAGCGAACTATCTCCAACCCGGACCCCCTGCCGGACCTGAACCGCCTCCTCGACCGCCTGCAGGCGAACATCCTCCGCGCCGACGCCGAGCGCGAGCACCGGCTGCGGACGAGCGAATACGAGCGTGCCAAAGCCAGAGTCGTACGTCTTTCATCCAACCCCATTGTCGTTCTAAATAACATGACATAAATAATAAATAAAATATATAAATAAATACCTTTGGGGGGTGGGGGTCTACGCATGTGGTTCGTTAGATACCTAGGCTAACTCGGCACGCCGCTACTTCTTTTTCGTCTCGCTGCAGAACATCGACTACGCCCGGTCCCTGCTGACCAAGCTAGAGCACGACGCGCTCGCGATCAAGGTGCACACGCGGCGCCAGGACGCGCAGAACGACCTGAACGGCAAGCGGGAGGTCCTGGAGCAGATCGCGGAGAGGTTCCGCGAGATGGAGGACGGCGCCGCGGATAGCGACGGGGATAGTTCCGAGGGGGCCGAGGAGGACCTGCTCGCCGACATCATCAATACGCCTAGCGAGAGCGTAGAGTCGGCTTCGGCGGCGGGCCGGCGGGGAGATGATGATGATGATGATGACAGTTATGTCGAGGATGTAGGACAGCAGGACGACAACGCGGAGGTGGAGAGGGAGGAGGAGGAGTCTTTCCTTTCGGAGTCGCGAATTACGGATCATCGTATACAACCATCCAGCGCACCACAAACGCACCAAGCAACACCGACAGCGACGGCCCCCGGAACCAGCACATCGCAGACGCTACGGCCTCGCGGCAGCGCTCCCCAGCAAGCCCCCGCCTCATCCGACACCGCCACAGCAACGACCACGAGCGCGCTGCGCACGCAGCTCTTCGGCACGCGTCCGGAAGCGTCCGCCACCACCACAGCCGCCACCATCACCTCAGAAGCGATCCTGGACCTCCACCGCGCGGAGCAGGAGCACCTAACGGCGTCGATGGTCAGCATGGCGCGCGCGCTGAAGCAGTCGACGCACCGGTTCGCGGCGTCGCTGCGCGAGGACGAGGACGTGGTGCGCGCGGCGGGCGCTAACCTCGCGCGCAACGAGCGCGGGCTGGGCGCCGTCGCCGGCCGCATGGGCGCGCTGCGGCGCGTGACCGAGGGCAAGGGGTGGTGGGGAAGGGTCCTGCTGTACGCGTGGATCGCGGGGCTCGCGGTGTTCGCGGTGCTGCTTGTTTTCGCGTTTCCGAAGCTGAGGTTTTAAAGGTTTTTTTTTTAATTTATTTATTTATTCTTAAAGAGGTTGGAAGCGTGTAAAGGATGAAGGATGAGAGAGAGAAATAAAAGATGATAATCACTTCAAAAGGGGGAGAGGGGGGAAATAGGTTCGAGTGAAAAGGGAGGGTCGATGTTTAAGTTGTCGGAAAAGAAAAGGATGAGTTCTATGATTTCTTCACCAAAGTTTTCGGCGATGGATGGATGGAACGACGCATTTGTATGGGCTGGGCTGGGCGAGCTGGTCTAACTTTCTAATTTGGCAAGCAAGGCGTTTTGCGCTGCGATACGGTATACTACGTTGTTGTGTTGTGTTGTGTTGCGGTTACGTTACGTTAAGCTTAAGGGGGACAACAACTTGACAGTTTGACAGCTCGACTCTAGGAATTCAATCGCATCGTGTTGTTGTTGTTCAACTATCCAACCCCTAAGGGCGCCCCCCCCAAAAAAACAGCTGTCTATCTAAAATAAGCTATTGGAAGAAATATGAAATAGCAAGAAGCTCATCCCATTTTCTGGGGGGTTTGGATGGTGGTGGTAAAAATCTCTCGCTCATGGGGTGGGCGAGTCCCCAGGGTTATTCGAAGAAAAGGCGATATAAAAATAACAATAATGAAAATCGCCGTTTCTCTTCTTCCACTCCGGGGTATCAATCCATCCCTTCAATAATCCACCCGCCTCCTCCTCCTCCTCCTCCTTATCCTTCTCATCCTCCTCGTCGTCCTCCACGACTCGACTTACTCGCCATCGCCACGTCCCTCGCTAGACTCCCCCCTCCCCCGCCCGCTCTCCACGCTCGGCGGTGGTGGCGCCAGCAAGCTCGCGCTCCTGCAGGGCACGAGCTACTGCTGCCGCCTCCGCCGCCTTCCGCCTGTAGTAGCGCTGGGCGCGGAGCACATTGGCGAGTTCGGGGGGACACTTGGGACGGGTGTCCGGCTTTTTGTCTCCCTCCTCCTCCTCCCTCTTCTCTTCCTTTCCCTCCTCTCCCTCTCTCTCCTTCAGCTTTGTCTTCGTCTTTGCCTTCGTCTCCGCTTCCTCGTCCTCCTTTTGACTACGCAGCCGCTTCTCGCTGGCACTGCTCTTGCTGTTCCGGACGGACTCCACGGGACTCTGGCCCTTATTATGGTTGCTGCGGTGGACGGGCTGGTCCGGGGCAGACGCCTGCTGTTGAGCCGCTTTTTCCTTCTCCTCCTCCACCACCACCTCCCTCTCCTTCGCTTTCTCTACGCACAGGCGCTTCCCGCCGCCGCTGCTCTGGAAAGAGTCCAAAGACCCCTTCCGCTTGCGGCCAGCGGGCTTTTCGGGAAGCGCCGTGGCAGTCTTGCGGGCATCTTCCTTCTCCTTCTCCGTACACGCCCGCTTCCCCCTACCGCTGCTGCTCGGGTCCGGGACAGGAGACTCCTTGCGCTTGCGGCCGGTGGGCCCGACAAGTGCTGTCCCCTGGACACCCGGCGCCGCGATAGGCGAGGCTGACGTAGGGGTCTGGAGTCGAGGTTTAAGGACGCCGACGGGCTTTCCTCCCGTCTGATTCTCGCGAATTCGTTTGTCAGCAAATCTCGCGCACATTTATATATAGGTCAGGTATGCATTAGGCATATCTTAAGACGATTCTAGGACTTGAGAAGAAAAGACAAAAAGGAAGAAGTAAAAGAAGGGTCAGAGGGGGAAGGGCAGTCTACTTACGGGAGGCTTGTACTGGAACTTGCTCTTCTCGGTGGTGCCCGCGCCGGCGATGCGGTCGTCCCAGCACAGGCCGGTCTTCTGGTAGAAGAAGCGCTTGAAGTCGGCCAGGGCGCGGCCCATCTCGACGGGGTCCTCGCGCGGGCGGTAGACGGTCGGGCGGTTGTCGCGCGGCTTCTTGTAGTACTTGGCCGCGAATACGTATAGGTGGGGCCAGGCGTTGGATTCCCAGAGCTGAGGAGGGGGGAAGTTAGTTAGTTGACGGTGATCAGTTGGGAGGGAGAGTGAATGGATGATAATGATGATGATGATGATAAAGGGGGCAATGGGAAAAGGGGGGAGAGAAAGGGGGAGGGGGGAGAAAAAAGGTGGGGATACGTACGAAAAGCTGGTACTTCTGGCCGACGTTGCCAGTCTCCTCGTCGTCCCGAGTCAGGGTGATCTCGTAGCGGAAAAACGTCTTGTCTCGATAGACGTGGTAGAGATCTAAAAAGAAGAAAAGAAAAACGGAGTCAGTTCTCTCTCATCATTCTGCTTCCTTGGTTGCCAGGTACCTCTAGAAGAAGAAAGGAGCGATCCAAGGCTAGAATGGAGAAGGGGGGGGAGGGGGGGCTTACTTGTGTTTACGAAGGTCTTGCCTTCTTCGATGCCCTTTTGTATCTTGGCATCGAGCGCCTTCTTGGCGTTGGCCTTGATGTCGGCGTTTTTGAGCGAGTAGTCCAACTCGTTCACTGCGATAACAACAAGATACGGTCAGTATTTGTACAAGGGCCACCTTGTGCGATGATATTGGCCATCGGCTGCTCTTAATTGTATAAGAGTATCGAACAATCACGGATAAGGTTGCAAGGGTCACCATCCCATATAAGACTTTTACCACCAGTCATGAAGACCTCTTATAGATGGAACATAGGTAGTAGACATTCTAGCGAAAGCAACAAATCACGCAAGAGAAGAAACAAAAGAATAAGAAAAGGCGAAGGGAAGGGAAGAGATAGAGAAAAAAAAAGAAAGGAAAAAAACTCACGTCGTCGCTTCTTAGCAAGCGAGTCCTCGAACCAATCCTTCGTCACGACGTACGCGCCGGTCTTGAGCGCCTTCTTAACGGTGGGCAGCCTGGCGTTGTACTGGCCCGGGGTGGCGAGGACGTGGGTGACCTTTTTGTCGCCGACGCCGTTGCCGAACTCGCCGCCGCTGTAGGCCGTCCAGCGCGCGACGTTCGCGCACGTCCAGTCCCCGCCCAGCGTCCCCGCGAGGCTGATCTTGCAGTTGGCAAACACCTTCGAGGACGAGGACGAGGACGAGGAGGCGCCGCCGTTACCCTTTCCTTTGTTCTTCGCCTGAGCCTTGGAAGGGGCTTTGGTGGTGGAGGAGGTGGTGGTGTTAGTGGCAGGCATTGTTGTGAGGAAGGATTGGATAGGATGGGATAAGAGAGGATAGAAGAAGAGGAGGATGTGTTTGTGTTGTGTTGTGCGAGTATGAATATTGATATGGATATGGATATGGATAAGAATAGGTATGAATATCAATACGGAAATAGGATATGGATGTGTGTTGAAAAGAAGATATTGTGTATTGTTAGAAAAAGTGAGTTGCTCTGCAGTATGGTTGTCGTAAAAGCTGCTGGCTAATTGTGGGAAGAAAAAAGAGAGAAGAAAAGTACGTGAAGTAAGTACCTACGTAGACCACGCTGTCGCTTTGGAAGGTGGAAGGAAGGAAGGAGGGGGTAGATGCCTAAGAAAGTTGTTACGGGCAATCACTACTGGCAACTGCTGGTTAGGTGGTTTGGGGCGCCAGCAAGATACGAGATAGCAGGTGCATGGAAGGTACATACATAGGTACCTACCTCCTGAAGGTGTATATCTGCCACCAACCCCCCAGCTCATAAAAGTGCCTGACCAAATCCAAGTCAGAGCTTTTTATCAGCCCGGACTCATCGCACAATCTACCAACAGTCATAATTAACCAAGAAGATGGGATTCGTGATACTTGAAATCCCACCTCCTATTCTACATCTCGTCGAAAGGCTTTGCTATGCGGTAACAGGGACTCGTAAGTATTCCCTCGGAGGTGAAAGTACCATAAATGCCAGCAATGGCAGAATATCACTAGTGCAAATAAGACCCGAATATAAAATATTACATGAGGAAACTCGAAACCGTAGCAGCTAGTCAATATCCACAATGCCGTCTCTGGTAAGATCCATACATACCAACTTATTTTATTTTATTTTGTTTTACACAAATAGAACATGGAATAAAATACCTATGTGCCCTTATCTATGCTATGTATTCAACATACCTAGGTATCTACCAGGTACCTAATAAACGACTGAAATGTCAAGTCAGATATAGCAGTAAGTAAAATCATCACGGAGGGCACTGAGCATCGAAGCCAAGACTCGGGACGCTGTCTGGGTGTCAGGAAGAACTCACAAAAAAGTACTAATTCTTCAACACATCTCCCACATCTCCCATCTATGTTATGTAGCAAGATATAATGCTAAATTCTCTCCTCCGGAAAACTTCATCAACCACAATTCCCCATACGGGGGGGGGGGGGGAATCCTCCTTTAATATTTCTCAACCTTTTTTTTTTTTTTTTTTCTTTTTAGGTATAAGACAGACGACGATTCAGCCCATCCCATAGCCAAATCACCAGAAAACAGCAACTCAAAAATATCTTCCCATGGGTATCATTCAAATCATCCACTCACTTCTACCTAAGGTAGTCCTACCTAAAGCATTCATTCGCCTTCCTTTCCAGCCCTAACCTCGAGCCCAGACCTAGCCCCCAACTTGAGCCTGCGTACAATAATACATTTCACGCAGCACCACCTAAATATCTAGTGCTCGCCAAACCGTTCCAAGTTCCAAGTTCCAAGTTCCAAATCTAGAGTAGATATAGGTAGGGTATCTATATGCTTCTTCTTCTTCTTCAAAACAGCGTACTCTTCTTCTTCAGCATCTTCCCCATCCCACTTATGCCTCCGGTCCCACTATCCGCGCTACCAACTCTCCTTCGTCCAGAACTCGACTGCTGCTGCTGTTGTTGCTGCCCATATCCATATCCAAACGCCTGCGGTACAGGGGCGCCGGGTGTAGGCCCCACAGCATGAAACCAACCGCCAAACCCACCGCTATGTGCATGCGCATGCGGTCTAGGTTCCGCGCTGACAGGCCGCATGGGTGGATGAACCGGCGGCTGCAACTGATTGTTGCGACTCGGACCGGCGACGCCAACGCCTTGTCCTTGTCCCTGTTGTCGGGGTGGCAAGTTCGGTTTAGGACCGAAGTCCTGGCCCGCTATGCCGAACTGCCTCCTCAGCCGTTCCGTCTCCTTGGCGACCTCAGCCTCGCGCCGCTGGCGTTCCTTCGCCTCTTCTTCCTCGAGCATACGCTTAATGCGCTCCTGCTCCGCGCGGTCCCGCTTCTCGCGGTCGCGCTCCTCCTGCTGGACTAGCGCCTGCAGACGCTTGGTCTCCGCATCGATGGTGAATTCCGAGGGAGGCGTGGGCTGTTGCCTGATGACGGGCGAGGTGGTCTTCGGGGGAGGCAAATCGACGAATGCGCCTGTCATGAGACGTGGTGATGTTGACAAGGTGGGTGTGGGTCTCGAGTTCTTGCGCCTATTCGCCGAACCGGAAATATTGAATGAGTCCCGATTAGGGAATAGGTATATCTCGCGGATGACCTCGGCGCCGAGCAGCAGTATGACTTCGAGGCCCTTGCGATCTTCTAGGTCCACCCTCTGGAGATTCGGCTCGTAAATGGTGACACTAGGTTCTCTCCCGTTTTTGAATAACGCTATGGTGATATCCGGGTCCTTGCTCTTCTTGCCACCAATGGACGTGCCTGTCATGTAGCATGTCATATCCTTGGAAAACTTGCTATCTCTCTTCCACTTAAACATGATCTTGGGCGTGAGATTGCTTGCGACCGGGCTATTCTGCTGGCGATCGACTTTGGATACCGAGGGCATGCGAAAGCTCTGCTGAGGCATCTCAAACTCCCAAGACTCCTTTCCGGTCCAGGTGCTCTTCTCGCCCTTCACCGTAACCTGCTGCTCCGGGTTGTAGAGCTGTATTGTGAACCCATCCGGGATCAGAGGTACAGGCGGGGGCGGAACGCCATTCTGCTGCCTGATTTCGGCAGCGGACAAACTAGGCTGCTGAAATTCGGGCTCGATCAAGACCTCGGCCAAGATGACATCTTGAAAACTGGCGTCTCCTAAGGCCACGGCGTACTTATTCCTAGATTGGGGCAAGTCCGGATTCATTTTTTGGAGCGAGTATTCAGGTGCTGGCTCGGAGCCATTTTGAGAGAAGTATAAGATCTTGCATAGAGGATTATTAGAGAGTCTAAAGAAGAAGGTTGGTAAATTCTCGTCGAGCATTTTGTAAAAAGTTGCGCCAAGTTAATTGGGTCTTTCTTTTCTAACTTTCTTTTCCTTTACCGGCTCATCTGCAAATCGGTTGTAGGTGGTGTGATGTAAGATAAGGCAATGTATATAGATAGACTTTATGATCGGACCAAAACAAGAGACAGGTATGTTATGTTATGTTATGTTATGTAATATGTAACAAGGCTTAGTCAAGCTGGTCAAGATAAAAAGATTTGAAGGTAGGTACAAGATAATCCAAAGGGAAAAGGAAGGTACGAAGCTGGAATTCTAAATGGATGGTTTCCAAGATAGTCGCGGCTGACCTAAATGGGTGTCTTTTAGGCCTTTTAGGTGGACAAAATAATGTAAAGAAGGGAAGTATCAACGGCAGGTGACGAAGCCAAAAAGCTAGGCGCGGGTCGGTACGACAGGCATAACGACGATAACGAGGCTGAGTCGTTCTTTCCGAGAAACAATGGAGGCGCGCCAAGGGTTAAGAAAAAAGGGCCAAGACGGCGATGATGTATACTAGGTACGTAAGGTATATTGTACTCCCAAACGTGTGTACCAAGACCTTAGGTTAGAGGTAGTCAACAAGTGTAAGTATTGACTAAAGATGTAAAGATGTGAAGAATGAGATGACTATAAAAGAAGAAGCAGAAACGAATGGAAATAGATAGATAAAAGCACCAAATATTAAATATATATCAGCGGCGTACTTAATATATATAGGTACCTAAGGTATATGCGCGTGAGATGTAATGTTTCAATACCGTGAGATGCAGGTGCCGAAAACCATATTCATTGTCGTCATGTGCCTTATTGTTTGCGGCTTTGGTTAGACCAGGTACCTCTCAAAGACGCTCTTTAAAGTGGGTGCATCAGGTACCTAATACCATGTATTGTACCTAATTACAGCATCTAACAGGGAACTTTGTTCTGCTTAGGTGCTTTTTTGATGCGAGTATTACAGGGACCACCCCGCTATTTGTAGCGGTTAAAGGAACACCGAGCCACCCCCAGGCCACATAAGGCGAGAGGGCTGTGCGACTCAGCTCGGCTACTCAGACAGGCAATATCGAGAACCAATCCATTCGTTCCCTTCTCATTGCTAAACAACATCAGCTACCTAGGTATTTAAAGATTCATCCCGACCAAGTGAATCTATGTCCGTCCCTATCACAGGTAACTAATATAAACAGTCAAGATCAACAATAATCGTTAGCGAGTCTGCTAGATTAGTCTATATGACCTGTTAGAACTTACGCAATGCCACTCCACATAAGATCATCCGTCATACTCGTAGGAACAAGGACGGACCACTTTGTCAAAGATCATCGACATTTACCTACTAGTTAAGCCGAAAATCAAAACTGGGGTTTAGTCTAGGCAACTCTGATTCCCTATCGGTCAGTCAGTCAGTTCGGGTGTGAGAGGCATTTTTTACACGTTTCCATAACTTTCCGACGACGTACCGGCATGTCTATCTCATTTATGGAGAACATGTTCTGCTTCTCGGTCTACAGTCAAGTTAAACTGATGAATATAACTCAATTCTGTGTAATAACAGGTACTCATTATCATCCGCTCTTCTATAGTGACGCTCCCTCTATCTAACTTTCCTTCTCCTAATAACATGGGAAACGCATGGTATAAAACACCGAAGCGCAATTGTCTTTACACTCAACATCAATGTGACTTTTGATTGTGTAGGACGCTGGGTGATATTAGTATTCGCCATCCACTAGGTAACGGCATTATAAACGGGACTTGTTAACTGATATGTACAACATTGGCCGGCGCAATTGGATACGGCCAAACAGGCCGTTGGGGTTAGAATGTTATTCCTTTTTTGCCATGACCTCGCTATGGGTTACCCTTAAAGCTCGCTAGAATTAGATACCCAAGAGAATTCCTGAAGCTTCAGGCCTGGAGTTTTAGATGAAGTAAAAGTACGGTGCTGGATTATTTCGGTATCCAAGTAGTATCATCCCTCACCGGTAAGCGGTCTGTCGTATGGTACTCATCTCGCCTGGGACTGCGGGCATAACAGGCACTTCTCCACGCTCTTGCGCCCTCGAATGAGCTCTCTTCGCCCGACCCGCTTGCTGATTAACCCAGCTGGTTATAGAGCGGAATCGAGCTGGGCGGTCCTCGCTCGCTTCCGTATATACCGTTTCTCTCCTTTCACCCGGTCGACTTATCCATGAGTCTCGAGCGGTAGCATTCTCTTCGACCTGAACAGGTGCTGGCTTTTCTGCTCCTGAGGGCGGAGGTACAATAATGTCGCCGTCTCCGAATCCAGAAGAGATGGATGATATTTCGCTAGTTCGAGTTCCAGCCCGTTTCGGTGCGCTATATATTTCCGGTGGCTGGCGAACAAGTTCCGATTCGTTGTAATATGGCTGGGTCACTTGAGACCTCATTGTCATGTTTATATCGCCATTATACGCTGCGACCCCATTCCCTACAGCATATTGATCTACAACGCTTGCAAGTGGTGGATTGCTATCCGGTAGCTGCCTTAGGGCCCCCGGCTCGGAATTCGCGACGACCGAATGGGTTATGCTCCCATTTCCTGACGGGTGTACTTTATTAGGGCCATAAAAGGTACCTGATTGCATGGTTCCATACTCGCCCTTCTCATAAAGGGGAGGCGCCTCATTCGACACGTAAAGCGCACGGTCATCTACCGGTCCCCTTCGTCTCTCGTTGAACTTGTCTATGAAGCCCATACCGCCGCCAATACCGATGCTCTGACCCTTCGTCTTCTTGAAGACTCTATAGATGACCCATCCGATAAAACAGAATAAGATGAAAGCACCTTCGATATGTTAGTCATTTGTTTTCGCTGGAACGAGTCAAATTTTACTGACCTATTGCACCTGCGGCAATGAGAAGGTGCTCCGCTGTAGGATTCAGCACGCCCTGTTGCTGCTTTTGAAAGTCTGGATCATTGTGCCACTTATGCTTCCCTCCATTATCGCTATCATTCGCAGTATCTGAGGCTACAGGTACGAAAGTTGGCTCCGTAGTCACTGTTCCAGTGAATGCAGTAGTTGGCTGGGAAGTGGGAGATGGTACTAGATCGCTGTAGTCATATTTCTGATCTTCCTCTTTACCCTGTTGTGGAGGGACTGCTTTCCCCAAAGTGGGAGGAGCTGAAAATACCTATCAACTAACAGTTAGTTCGACTTTATCGGCACCAAATTGACAGGTGAACATACCGGAACGTAAAGCGGAAGAGAAGTGGAAGATAGCTGCGATATGGGAGTAGTGGTCATTATTTTCAACGTAGTAGTTTGGCTTGGGAGCGCAGTCAGAGTAACGATAGACCCCGACAAGCTTGGAGTAGCTAACTGGGTTGTTTGCTGCGGAATATCGCCAATCGTATCGTATTCGTCGTCGTCGCTTTCGTCGCTACTCGAGTCTCCGGGATCATGCTTCAGATAATCATCGTCTGAATCACTGTCGCTCTCATGATCACTATCATGACCGCCTCTAAATCCACGAAACCCGTCGTCATGGCCTCGACTGACAATCTGCCGTCTACGCAGGGGGGTTGTATCAATGAAGTCGCCTTCCATATTCCTACGCCTCAAACTTCCTCGCGAAAACAGCATCGACCGCCGATCCGATTTTGGTGACCCCTTCCATGGTTGGGCGTCTTGGGGTTGTCGTCTCCTGTTAGATGGCGGCATATTATCGTTCAGAAGCTATTAGTACGCGCCGAAATGCTCCGCATCCAAGCACCTTTCCTGAATTCATAGCATAACCGGTATGCGAATAGGATAAAAGAAAAGCGAATATTAAAGTTACCCAAAACGACAGGACGGAATGAATTGAATACTAAGAAATCCAAACCTGGGGATTGACTAATAGAATACAAGAAGGCCCGCCTTGGAAGAAGAGAAGGAAAGAATAAGAGAAAAAAAAAGATCAAAAAAAGCCAAGAGTAACAGAAGTACGAAGTAATAGAGAAGAAAGTGCAATTCTCAGAGTCGTATTAGATCTCTGGGCCTCCCTCCCACTGGAGATTCGGAGACTAAGGCTTAACCTAGTGCAACGCGTCTCAGGGATGCAATGAGAGGCCCCCCTGGACCCCTTCAACGAACCCCGGATGACCGTATCCCTGGCCATCATGGCTGTCCCATGTGGGGCTGTCCTGACCTAGGCTCATGATTCCAATAGGGTCTTCGTTAAAGGGGGTGTTAAAGGTCTGCCGTTAGGGCATTATTATTACCTAAGGTATTGGAGTAAAGTTCACGATTTGTATGTTATTGTTTGTACGAAGTACAAGCTGTGTCAATTAAAGCTCTTAGATAGACTAGAATATTAGCTATATCTATTTCTTATAGAAAAGAGAGAAAAACCCCAATTGGTACCTATCAGTAATGAAGCTAGTTGCCATATTACATAGCAAGTTAATAACTACCCACCCAAGGTAAGTTCACAAGTAAATACGAGTGCGCTAGCATCGACGTAGATTGACCGGAAAATCGATTGCCGTTCGAGGCTCAATAGTAGCGAGTTAAGGGGCTTAGATATCCCTAGTGTATTGTACTTGGTCTACTATGTAAGGTAGTGTATGTCGTGGTGTTTCTACCGTTGTCTTTTAGGGGCAAAGGCCGACGGGTGAAGTCGACATTGGTGATTAACGCGTTGACTTGAAGTTGATATTGTCACAAGATGACTGGGGTGTCCTGTCTCGGGCAGGGGATGGTTGCGGGGACAGCTGGGTTTCAGACAAGGATAATGGTTAACGGCGCCAAACTTGATACAGATCAGCGTCTGGCATCTTGAAATTCAGTTCTATGGCGGACGGTGCTCGGGACCGCGTCTCGCGATAATTAATGACACCATCGTTCGTCTGATAGAAGAGATAGTTTCGTATTTGGCCTTATAACATTGAAGTGAGGCACTTCTTGATCTGTTTTCTAGTAGTTCCGAGTTATAGTTCTCATAGGGAGACGTGATCCGAGAGAAGAATACTATATGAGATAGAATAAACGTAACCTTTACGCGTAATTGAGCATGCAAAGGTTGTAAAGGTATTGTGCAGATTCTGTGTATAGAAGCTGAATTGGAAGCCTCGGCGCCAACCCGAGCCAAGCCATCGCAAGCTTTTCTTCAAGAGGAAGATCTGATTGTTACTCTATCAAGCTTTTTAGGACTGACGATCCCGGTTCAAAATGACGGCCACATCCGAATCGGCCTTGCCAATAACAAGGTTTGTTTCGGGTATCTAGGCAAGCGCATCCTTTTTGGAATTTTGAAATAAGAAAGTTGTTGTCATTCTTGTTTCCGTTTATGTAAGGTTAGGTACCTAAGTTTGTAGGTTGGGAAGCTACTAGTGTCTTTCTCTTACATGATATTTACATGTACCAACTTACTATACCTACCTCCTATAGATAGAGCAATATAGGTAGGCAGGTACCCTCTTATATGATAGCGCCGTCCAAGTTTACTAGGAAATAAATCAGGTTAGGTACCTCTTACCTTTAGGTAGGTTTATCAGCAAACTACGGCTTCCCGAACATCAACTGCTATCCCGAGGTACTCCCGAATAGGTAGGTATAACAGGTACCTAGTCTTATCTAATACTTGCCCGGTCTACCATTGCCCTCTTGCCACTGCAGACTCATTTTCAATTTATACCAGGTAGGTACACATTTTTGTTTGTTTGTTTGTAGATATATGCTGTGTTATATTTGATACAGCGGTGTAATTGTTGATTGATATTTTACCGAGCAACTAGCGTTACGTTTTGTCTTGTGAAGCCGGAAGATTCCACCAAATCGGATATTCACCATGCCAATCCGAGTTTCTCCTCTCGCCGAGGCAGATATCCCGGGTGCCGTATCAGCCATCCAGTAAGTATCCTCCCTTTTATCCTACCAATCGATCGTTACTGCGATTGATGTATCCGTACAAAACCGCTTCAGCTCTTTGTATTGTACAATAAAGTTAGGTACTTCTACCGTACCAATAATCGTCGCTAACTACTCTCCCACCGAAGACAAGCATTTGCGGATGATCCATACAACAACTGGATCTTTGATAAATCTACGGTATGCATAAGTTCTTTCGTTACCGAATATTATATATGCCAAGCTCCGTTTCAAAGACGCGGGGAATGACGCCGTAACATTGGTATATTCTGTGCCTCTAGAACGATTCTCCGTTTGTGTCCCACCCAACCGGTTAAGCAATGCAACCCCCCGAACTCTCCATAGCACCACAGCTTACCGTTTCGCCTCCCGCGAGCTGAGGTCGAATTCATTCTATGGTAATTGGTGTTCGCGCTTCATGCTAACACAGCCTATCAGTTTAACCCTCGACGCAACGCAGCCTCTCTCAGCATTCGATGCCGATGGGGTATGCGTAACGGCATCTTCCACGTCGCTAAGGAAGAAGGCAGCGACGAAGTACTTGGCGTCGCTTGCTGGTTAAGACCAGAAAGGGCGGGCCAACCGCAGAGCTGGTACGACTGGACCGAAAGCTGGCGGCTGTGGCTTAGCCAACTCGGGATGAACCTCTACTACGGCCGAGGCGGTCTCAATGTGAAGGTAAGAATCTGACATTAGACGGATTATGGGCGCGGGATGATCTCTGCTTCAAGCTAAGCATTTTATCTGCCGACTCGGCTGAGACTGCTAACCTGGAGGCGACTATCTAGCGTTATTACATATGGAAAGAAGCCCAGGCCGAGGTTCAATCCGCCGTCTGGACAGACCCGCGAGGTTACTATTTTCTCAACATTATGGTTGTGGTACCCAAAGCCCAAAATAGAGGAATAGGCCGGCTCATGATGGAAGCTGTCACCAAGCAAGCCGATGCCGAGGGTATGAATTGCTACCTCGAGTCTAGCCGGGACGTTCCTAATATGCAAATCTATGGCCGCTTCGGGTTCAAGTTCGCGAAGGAGCTAGAGTGTGATGACGAGGGCATAGCCATCAAGCTATTTGCTATGGTTAGGGAACCCAATGCTGCACCGCAGATGAATTGACAGGTCCATTTCGTGCCCTTGGATCTGAGTACACCTCGACCTCAGCAGACGAGAATCTCGAATGGGTTTAGACTTGAGAAGTCCATGCTGCTGATAGCCACCTTATGTATGTTGTCCTAGGATTATATTACTGGTGCCGAAGGCGACACCAGCTACAGCGAAGACCTGCCGAGGCGAGGCTGTCTCTTAGCCGGCTTTCCAGCGGATTATGGTGGATGGTATGCCGGAATAGTGTAGAGTTTGACGGGAAAGGTTTCACTACGACAAGTCCGTTGCGTTATTTATTCAGCCACCGCGTGTCAATAGGGGGCCTTTATAGAAGCTAGGTGTAAGTGCCTTAGGTACCTATGTTTTCGCTAGCTTCTCACACTTTAGATGCAGGCATTTAAACATTGGACGAATTGATATCTTAAATGCCGAGCAACGTGGTAACTTCACAGCGTACTCTGGCTGTCCCTTCATACGAAATATGTTAGTAGATGGTGAGTCAACTGGGTCTTATTGACTACGATTACTATTTCTTATGATGTAGGAATTATGATACATTATAGTATTCTAGGTTCTTATAAGATTCATCATCTAATATCCGTCTAGTATTAAGTGAGGTCAAATTCATAGAATAATTATCTAATTGCTGCCAACAGTAATGACGTCGCTATCTAAGGACTATTTGAAAAGGCATTGGAAAGTTATCATATCAAAGAGAAAAAAAAAAAGCCAAAAGGGGGGGAAGGGGGTTATGAGCCCCTGCTTGATTCAGCAAGGTGCTATAACGACAGCTACGATATTTAACTAATCTAGTTCTTTAGCTTCTTTTCTCTTTCCCCTTCAATACGACTCCATAGGAAATGATCAATTCCTCCCCCTAAATCAACCCTCGAAGGGATACAATACAAACCAATATCTGTTATCCTCGGTTTCGCATGAACGGATGGATGGCTGTTAGGGGCTAGGCACGTACCTAACCTAAGCCTTCAACCTGAAGACTATACCTAATTTTCTTGGAGATCTGCGAAAAAAAAAGTTCAATTGGGGGTATACGGAATGCATGCATTGCCAGGACTAGCCGGAGACGGGGGGAAAGCCCAAGCCAGGCCAAGCATGCGGCGGTGGAAAAAAAAAAAAGCTTGGGAATTTGGGGGAATATATCGAGAAAGTTGGATGGGGAATGGGTGTGGGCAGGGGAGCATAACATGTATAGCTGTTAGCTAGTTGGGTTAAGTAGTACCCGCATAGGTAAATAGGTATTAAGATGCACACTGTTATACAATTAAAATGAAATATAATGTCGATAGATTTTATAGACTACTCGCAGCTTACCACTTGGACCCTGTTACTTGAACTCTCTAGATAAGTTATATGTGTATGAGGTACCTTAGGTAAGAGGTAGTTAATAAACACCAATCCAAGTTCATGGAATATCTGTCTTAGAATAATGACGACTTATTTCTTTCTTTTATACAAACGGCAGCGTTTTAGGCTTGCGAGCCCATCCATCGCCTACCGCAAGTCTATCCCTAGTAGTCTACGAGCTTTAACTTTTTCACGAGTACCAAAAATAGAGACAGAAAAAAAAAGAGAAGGTGCTCTCTATACGCGAGCCTGATGATGTATCGTATCGTGTACCGTGTTCCATATGCCTGTCCCCCCTTCGAGGAAAGAAAAAAACAAAAACCAACAAAATGACAGAATCCGTTCTATCCTGCCCGTCCTCGTAATATATCGTTGCGTGACTGGCATCTCTTACTTCTTCTTCTTCTTCTTTCTGGGACTCTCTCTAGGGGACAAATAATACACGGCGAGCAGGGGGTGGGGGGTTGGGGGTTATGGAGATATAGCGGCGGCGGGAATGAGGTTAGGTATTATCGACTGGATCCGTTTACTCTCGGGAGACATCACGTCCGTAGACCTTAGCTTTGATCCAATCGAGAGCGACAAGGGCGCGATTGCGCGCTAAATGTTGTTAATATTAAATTACTCGTTAAAGTAAACATGTTTAAAGGGAAGGGACTTACTGCTAAAGCACATGCTCAAGTAAGCGCTTCGCCAGAAGAGATAGGTGAGCTTGCCGCCGGAAGCGACGTTGCCGTTCAGCCACGCGACGTCAGCGACGGCCTTTTCGCTACCGATGTAGGCCAAGCTGCCCTGGTGCGAGTAGTGGAAAGGTTTGATGTCCTTCATGCGGCGCAGCTGTTTCTCGATGGACTCTATTTCTTTCGTCACGGCGGCCGTGTCGCCGGGCTTGAGGTTTAGGCTCGTGCTAAGTTCGCGGACTTTCTGCTCTAGGGCTTCGGTCTTGGCCATGTTGTTGAATAGTCTAGCAAGGAAAGCGCCTTCCTGAGAAGCGACTTGGGCAGTGGGTGCGTATCCAGCGACAGCACAGTCGCCGACAGCCCACATATCTCGCGCTCCCTGGACCACGAGGTACTCGTTGACGGCAAGACCACGTCTCGAGTCCTTTTGGGCGGGAATCTGGGACAAGAGGTCCTTGACTATCGGGCGCAGAGTGTTACCCGTGGCCCATACCAGCAAGCCATAGGGAATTGTAATTTGAGTCTTCTTTCCATCGGGACCGGTAGCTTCGGCTTCGACCGTCTTTTCGGTCACCTTCTTAACCATAGTCTTGGTCAGGATCTTGATGTCTTCCTCCTTGAAAGTGCTCTCTGTGTAGTCGATGAGCTGCTTGCTGAACATGGGAAGTACGTTGGGTAGAGCTTCGATGAGGGTGACCTTGAATCGAGGAGCAATGTCGGGAATGAGCCTCTTGATGTCTTCGTCGAAGAAGTCCCTCAGCTCCCCGGCAAACTCGACACCGGTAGGGCCACCACCAACAACTACCATGTGGAGAAGACGTTCGATCTCCTCCGGCTCTTGGTCCTTGAAAGCAGCTGTCTCAACACAGTCCATGATCTTGGTACGGATAGCTTGCGCGTCCTTGATCTCCTTTAAGAAGCAGCTGTTCTCGCGAACTCCAGGAATGCCGAACGTAGCATTATCGGCACCGACACCAATAACAATCATATCGTACGGGACCTCAGTCTCGTGGACCTTTCCCTTGACCTCACTGCTATCGGTGATCCGGACAACCTTCTTATCAACATCGATGTGGGTAGCTTCGGCTTCATAGAACTTAACAGCAGCTTGCTTGCGGCGCAAGATCTGGCGCACGGGTTCCATGATGGAGCGGTGCTCGATGTTTCCGGTGGTACATGACGGCAGCAGAGGCGTGAAGAGGAAGTAGTTGCGAGGCGAGATGACAATGACATTGTAATTGGCAGTGTCGAGCTTTTTGAGTAAAGCAACCGAACCCCAACCAGTTCCTTGAAGCCCAATTGTTAGGTACAGAGGTACAGAGCAGCAACATGATGATGTGAAAAGATAATAATTAAGTTAGGTACTTACCAAGAATTACTAACGTCTTCTTCTGGGGATCAGGGACAAATTGATCTTCGGGGTGACGGTCTAAGTAGCCATCATAAATGACGGCGCCAACAACACCAAGCAGAGACAAGTAAATAAAACGCCATGTCCATTTAATCGTAGTCCGGATTTTGCTGGGTTTCTTTGTACGAGCCGGAGCTGCGTCGGCGTAGGACCTGACAAGCTGGGGAGAAAGAACGGTCCTCGTTCGTGTCCTTGCAACAACGGAGTTTAGCTGTCGCGGGTATGACGTCGTAACGAATCTGGCTGTGGGCACAGACAATTGTCTACTAGCTGGGCTAGTGAGCCTGCTCAAGGCCCGTAAGGACGATGCCATCGGGTCTTGACTAACGGTAGAAGCACCGTATAAGAAAAGGTTAAGAAAGTCGTGAGGACAATTAGGGATTTGGTGGTCAAAAAAATAAATGTTGAGTTCCAGCCCAAAGTCAATCTCTGGGGGGGGGGAGCTCAGTAAAAAAAAAAGTGATGCGCACAAAAAGTTAGGCTAGAACCCGTCACCAATTAGGACCAAGTAAATGAGATAAGTTATGAGGAATTTTAAGGTGGATCAGATCCAAGCCTTTTTTTTTCTTTTTCTTTCTTTTTTAGGAAAGAAGCTTATGACGCTAGGACCAAGGGCCAAGACACCGGCCGTCAAGTCCGCGTCAAGGGTTTTAACTTATTGCAGGAGTCCGACTGGTCGCAACCGACCCGGGAACTCGGGATTCGTTGATTTACCAAAGACGTTAAACGATAATAGGAAAGACTTAACCTTAAAACATATTAGCCATCTTAGCTATCTTAGCCTTGTTATAATGATAAAGTAATTGATTTGAGGTATTTTACTCTTATAAAGTTCTAGGCCAATCGTTTGAACGGATATCCTATTAGGGCTTCCTATCCTACGTAATATGGCCCAAAGTACGGAGTCAAGTAACCCTTCTCCATAGTGCTTTAGCATAGAAGATTTTATGGAAGAATATTAGTTTTGACATCAGTTTTGACATTAGTTGTTCGCCTACTATATATTGATTACTCAGTAGTTAATCATGCCTAGATCAAAGTTGACATCATCTAAGTCGGGACAATTAAAAACTACATCTAAGAATATAAATACCATGTGATACTACAACTTGTTTACTCAAAACTTATAATGTAGCCCAAAGCACCACCAGAGTCCAAGCTCAGGAGCTATGGTACAATACTGGAATACATAGTATACTAACTTACCATGTAGGTACCTATATCTAATGAAATATCCAATCACTGTCCAACGCCGGGGCTAAATAGGCTACTACGAGCGCGAGATATCAAGCCAATATCAAGCCAACATCAAGCCAACCTCTCGCGTTCCCCCGTCTCATCTTCCCCATACCCTTCAAATCTGCACCTGCTATTCAATCATACCGCTTTTTCCTACTCACCTCTACTCACCTCTACTCACCTCTCATTACGAATACCCCTGATCCACAAATCCACAATCCTCCAAGCAAAATCGTTCACAATGGCCGCCCTCCCGCGCTTTACCCTCATCTTCTACGCGCCCACCTCCGCCGTCGCAGCTTGTAAATCCGCTATATTTGGCGCGGGCGCGGGCCGGTACGCAGCGTCTCCCCCCTCTTCCACCCCCCTATTCATTAATACCTACCTCCTACCTAACCTAACCTAACTTAAATACCAAACAACCACAACCACAACTATAACAGCAACAAGAACAATAAATAACAATACTCTCCCCCAAACAACAGCTACCCCGGCCCGGGGAACTACACGGAGTGCAGCTGGTCGACCCTCGGCACGGGCCAGTTCCGTCCCGGCGACGCCGCGAACCCGCACCTCGGCTCCGTCGGCGTCCTCGAGGAGATCCCCGAGGTCCGCGTCGAGACCCTGTGCGTCGGCGAGGACGTCGTCAGGCGCGCCGTGAAGGCGCTGAAGGGGTACGTGCTTATACTTTATTTACCTTGTTATTTACCTGCCTAATCTTAGGTACCTATGATATTACTTACGATGTATGTTACTTATGACATGTATTACCTACTACTTATCTTGTGTCATAATATGTCTTTGGGTCCTGTTTTATCTAGGTGCCTTATTATAATACCTATGTAGTGGGAACTATATGCGTTGCTACAGCGGTGTATGGGAACAAACGAGTACCTAACGGGTATATAAGGCAAGGGAAGGGCAGCTATAAGCCATAGTATAGCATACATAGCATAGCATAGCCATATCCGAAGCAACTCCGCTGACCAAGAAATCTCCTTTTCCTAGCGCTCATCCCTACGAAGAACCCGCCTACCACGTCATCAAGTTAGAGAATTACTGAACCGCGCATTGCCATGCATGGTAAAGCTCCCATTCAGTAGATGAGAGGGGAGATATGGGAAATGGGAAATGGGGAAGCGCATTCTTCGATTTGTTGCCTCTATCTAACCTAAAGTGAGATTCGGCGATCGTGCCGGGAGCTGGCTGATTCTAGGCTCAGGCTTTACGGATAGGGGCATAAAGCCTCTTGCACGGTATTAGTTTGATAAGTTTAGGTAATTAGAATACCTAAGAGTGCTTTCCTAGGTAGAATGGAATATTGTATCTGGACTGGCTGGCTGGCTGGGCGATGGAATACGAATACCTTATTCTAAATCAATGCTAATAAGAAACTCCTCTTTTACAATACTTCTCTACAACTCTGGCACTGATTGTCACCAACGACAGTAAATTTAAAAAAATTTAACAGTTTTTACAAGCCAGCATATGGCCTTGCCCAGGAGCACCAAGACGGTCCATTTGATCGTCGTTCGCGACCTTTGCTCATTTATTGTTTTTCAACGCCTCTGCCGGCTCTCAATAAGATTCGTAGCAATCCTATCGTCCGGCTAGTATATAAATACACAATCAAAGACTTTCCTCCCCGGCCTCTAACTACCTGCCAGGCGTCGATGCCGGCATCTCGCCGTACCTTCCCCTGTGTCTCGTTGTATCGTAAGCATTGATCACGCGGGTCTGGCTTTCATCGGCTTGCGAGAAAGCGTAGCCGCGCTGTTTTCTCATCCGCTGCACCTGTCGGACTTTCCTGATCGCCTTCTGGAATTGTTCCATCCTATTTCATAGTTAGTTGGCCTACATGTTCCACATAACATAGTAAAATACATCGGGATACTTGCCTTGGACGGTAATCCTGGATATTGTACTTCTGGATCTCCTGTATGTGGTGGTACGTCTGCGGGTAATACATCCTCTTTGCATACTTCCAGGCGATATCTCGGAGAAGGCACAGAAGGGGCAGCGCTATCGTTTGAAGCCAGAAAACAGGGTTGGCGAAGAGTTTTGGCACTAAGCCGTCGTACTCCTTTGAGATTCCGATCTTCGGAGCTACAATTCCGTAGGCAACAACAAACGCGTACCAAATAACCATACTACCAGGGATGGCCATGACGTGATACTTCGTCCAGTTACTCGTTACCAGCGCCGCTTTTCCGAGAACAGTTGCCAGCGTAGCCGCATACAAAGCCGTACCCCAGACCCAGTGACCCGCCACGGTCCCATCGCCTAGAATCAGATCGCCGTACCAAATAAGTTCAGAGAATATGTATAGGACGATAGAGTGGTATACGGCATTTGCGATCCAGGCGAAGAAGGTGCCTATTTTGAAGAACTGATTCTGCTGTCCAATGGTATATAGTTGTGGGTAACGATCAAGGAGTCGGGCAGAAATGTATTGATCCAGGATACCCATGACAAGGGGAGGCAGAACAGTGTAGAAGACGTTGTAGAAGGATAATGTCCAGGACTCATAGATAATAGCCCCTGAGAAAACGTTTTGGAATGTATACTGTAGGTGTATTAGTTTTAATAATTACTGAAGCTATATCTCACATAGATAGAGGGTAGACCAAGGGAAAGGACGGGAAGACGGAAAAAATATGTTGTGAGCTTACCCAGAATTGTGTCATATATAGGGTGATGTTCTTGTAGAACGAGAATAGAATGGTTTTGCTGATGCGTTGATAACTCCAAGCGCCGTGAACGAGTGTAAGCTTGCGCAAGAATCGGAATTGGGCGATTGAAATATCGGCTGATCTCGCAGCCTGAAGACCCTCGACACCCGAAATACCAACTCCAATATGAGCGGCCTGGATCATAGATACGTCGTTGGCTCCGTCGCCAATGGCGAGGAGAATCTCCGGGGAAAATTTCTTCACCATCTTGACAACTAAAGCCTTCTGTAACGGTGAGACACGGCAGCAAATGACTGCCTTGCACATCACAGCCAAGTCGTAGAACATCCTCTCCATGTCTTTCTCCAGGGCGAAAGTAAGGGACTTGCCATCAATAACAAGAGCTAAAGCATCCGTTTCCACCGACCCGTCCGTATTGTTCCGGATGGCGTCCAGCTTCTTTTGGATATTGTCACGAGTTGATACAACGTCTTCTTCGTTAACAATTAAGAGCATCATATCTTCGCTTAGCAGCTTAGAACTCATGCCGATGTTGATAGCCGTCTCCTGCCGATCTCCAGTCAAGACCCAAACCTTGATATTCGCCTGTTGTAGTGTATGAATCGTCTCTGGTACACCGTCCTGAAGACGATCCTCGATAGCAGTTGCACCCAGTAAGTAGAAGCCGTGCTCGATCAACTCAGCTGCCTTGTCTAATTCCTCAGATCGGTTACCGCCAACGGTGGTCTGAGCCTTATCAAAGATGCTGTACCATTCCTGGAATTCTTCTTCGGGGACCTCACGCATTGCCAAGCAAAGAGTCCGAAGACCTTCGGAGGCGTATTCCTCAAGATGAACTAGAGTTTGCTCAACGTGGGGGTTGTCTTCGTTCAGACGTTCTAGGATGACCGTATCAGCGCCTTTACAATATACCCGGATTTTCCCGTCTGGGCATCTGTATATGGTAGACATCCGCTTTCTTGTAGAGTTGAATTCACAGACAGCCAAAAGCTCGTATTCGTACTCTTTGCCTTCGACTTCGATAATGGCCGACCTTGGTTTGCGAGCAACAAAAGTATAGCCCAAAGTTAAAGCACCTTGGACTAGCGCACCTTCGTCGGGTGAGGCAGCCTGATACTTGATTTTACCACCCTTCGATTCATCCCGTTCCGGAATAACGGTGTGGCATGTCGAGAGAAGGGCTAAGAAGTGATGAATCGCCTCAGCAGTCGGATGTGATTTTGTGTTCTCGCGCAATCGCTTAAAATCGTGAATACCAACTTCTACCCCATCTTGAACTGTGGCCCTTCGATCTTCCGGCACCTCATCCGCATACTGTATCCCGCTGATTGTGCACTGCTTAAACTCCATCATGTTACAAGTCAGGGTTCCCGTCTTGTCTGAAAAGACGAAGCCGACCATGCCAAGTTCCTCAACTAAGGAGGATGTTCGGCAGTTAGCAGGCGTATCTGTCTTGTCATAGTAAATATCAAGATCGTCGTTAATCAGAATTCCATGCCAATACTTGACCATCTCAATAGTCACGAACAGCGAGATCGGGACCAGCGAAGAGAACAACACCCAATATGTAACGAGGTCTTTGAATATGGCCTGTACTATATCTCCAGCTTGGGTAAGGGCGTCCAACTCTAGATAAGAAATAGAATCTGCTCGGACAGACCGGAAAACTAGCTCTCCCACAGTACACACAATACTGAGAACAAGAAGCATACCGACCAGCGCAAGAACTAGCGTGTTGAGTTGTCGTTCGACCTTGGTCCTCTTGATCGGAGCAGCAGTGGCGTTACGCATAAGCTTTGTCTCGTGACCCGTGAAGACCACTATCCCGTGAATCCAGGGGGTGTTCCTAAGAGTCGCGCCTCGTAGTAAAAGCTGTTCCGGATTCAGGGGTAACTCCTTTTCCCCACCACCGGCCTGCATGGTCAACGTAGCTTCGTAGGTGTATAGGCTACTATTCGGTTGTTCGGAACGAACTCTACCCCCTAGCCTACTTAATTCTGCCGGGCTAACTATCGTTGAAGTTTCGGGAAGCGCCTGCTTGATCTTCAGATTAGTTTCGCCGTCAAGATTCGCAGTCTCGATATAGCACAAGCCCTCCGGCTCGGAACTTGCAAGCAAGACGATATCGGCTGGGAAAGATTCCTCTGATTCTACCCGTACTATATCTCCCACAGCGACGTTGATCCATTTCGCCTCTTCAAAAGCCGACCCTCTCAAGATCCTAGCCTTTGAGTTGTTCAGCGCACTATCAGCCTGTTTTCTTCTGTAATCCTCAACTAACTCCTTGCCTGCGGATACCAGCAACACAACCACGAGAGGTCCGATAGTAGTATAACGATTCGTCGGCGACAGACCCGGAATCTGTTGTAGAGCGGCCGTGAACAAGAAGAAGACATTGGCGAATTTAGAAAACTGCTCGATTAAGAATTTTGGTAGGAATGTTGCGACGTTATACTTGGCGGTCGAAACGTGATTGTCAACGTATTTGTTCGCGGCATTCGCTGGTGGGTTATTCAAATGAATAATTCGGGGTCCGAGAGTTGAAGGGTCTGGTTTATTTCCACCAAATCCAAACTTAAAGTCAAATTTCTTAGGTTTCGGCTGTTCGTGACCCGAATCTGGCGGGCCGTGCCCTGGCTCGGTAAGAGGGAGGTCCATCTCTGAATATCCTTTCTGCCCCATCCCGAGCATCTTTCTAGCCCTGCCCAAGAATCCACCTCCTAGTCCAAGTACACTATTGCGATTGCGCGCATTAGCACGGCCCATCGAGTCGCCGGCTGCATTCATCGACCCTCCATGTTGATAATATGATTGGCCATCTTCGGGATAGTCGTCGGAGTCGTCTGCGTATCTCTGGTAGTTATTTAGACCAGATGTTTGGCTGTATTGCCTGTCGGAATCCACTAGGTACGGCGGTCGAGGAGCCATAGCGCCGGCGCCAGGGGGTGGATTTTTCACGGAGGGATGGGTGGTTTGACTACCGCCGACAAAGTCGTCGTAGGATACGGAGGGCCTAGCTGAGTGGTCATCGTGTATATTTGGAGTCGATCCATCGTGAGGAGATTGGTCGTCGAAGTCTAGTAAAAGATCATTCCTAGAGCTGGAGGTGCCTCCGGGAGGCGCCCTGCCAGCCATGTCGCGAAGGAATGGATCTTACAAAGAGAGTAGGATCGGAGGCATACGGGCGCGATGGGAAACGTATATTTCGACAGAATGAATTCGAGTTCAAGTTTGTATGTAGTAACAGGTAATTAGCTTTCGTATAGAGTTTCCATAGAGATAATGTCGCAACTGGTTCTAGAAGCACTAGTAGTCCTTGGTTTTGGCGTATCAAACAAGGGGGTGGTGATAAAATACGAGATGTCTCAGCTCGTTGGATGGCGAGAATGGAAAGGGTGTTGAGCTACCAGGCCGATGAAAATATAACGCGGACGGTATGAGAGATAGAGACAGTGACGGTGACGGTGACGGTGACAGAGACGAAGACGGAGAGTGAGAGAAATAGAGAAATATAATGGAATTGTCGAAAAATATGATGAAGGATGCTAATAATCGGATGTCGTGGCTTCGATGCAAGGCATTAGAGTGACGGGGTTGTAACTAGGCCTGTATTGTACATAGTAAGCTGGTCGAAACGCGGAAGAAATGTTCAAAGGGTACCTTAAGGCGCTGCTATTATTCGTTTATCTAAAAGGCAAACCATTGAAACCCGTAGATAATAAGTGGGCCACCGCCCCAATTCCCGTGTTCGTGTAGGAGGTACTGTACATTTGGGCATTCAGGGCATTTTCTTCTGCACAGCCTTCCGTTAGTGGCCAATGGCCCAGTAGTAATTGCCCGTGGGGCCTAGGGGCCTGGGGGCCTGGGGCGTGAGTGGTACAAACTTTCTCTCTATCTCAGGTTTCTTTACGATTTAAAGGAGGCGCCAATGAATTTTCTTTTCAGTTGGCAGCAGCGACAGTGATCACTGCTGCAGCACCGGCCTAGCATCGAGGGCACAGGCATCAAATAGGTACATGTAGGTACCTACAAATTTAGAATCTTAAGTGTAACCAGACAATAATTTGGAGAATCCAATCATGACATATGCAACCCCCCAAAACAACCTCTTTTTTTACGCCTCTTTTCAATGTTGTTTTCCTCGGGGGAAAAGCTTCAGTGAATAGCGCTATCATTGCAATCCTAAGCATCGTAAAAGGGCAAAAAAAGGAGGTCATACACTATATAACACATACTGGTTTATACCAAGATCCGCCAAGAGGAAAAGCTGCGCACCTAAAGTATGCACTTCCCAAAAAGTCTAGGCCTTATCACCAATCTTATTTTTAAACACAAATTCAGGGGCTTGTAAGGCCTTTTTTTTTTCTCCTCGTGGCAGCGCCGCTGACCGCAGTACTGACTTTCACGCGTCTTTACACGTACCTAAACCTACAGCCACGGCTTATTATCTCTTTTCGTCACATGTCCTACACTCTCTAATAATCCCTCCTCCCCTCCCCTAATGAGGGGCGGTAATAGTATACGAGGCATGGAAACTGCCTAGACCAAAAATTGTATCGCGCATATATATATATTAGATAAGTATACTTTATTTCGGGCCATAATATATCGTGGGTTTCTAATAACTACCTACCGCATACCACCACTAGGTAACCACCCTTAGAGACGGTTTGGGTCAACCATCCTGCAGGGCTGAGCAAAGGCTTTCTTTACAAGGAAGCCTTGAGCTCATCCCCCAGCACACTCTTGATGAAGTCCCCAATATGCTTGTTGACAACATCGGGACACTGGGCCTGGACCCAGTGGCTGGATCCGGGGACGAGCTCCTTCTTGAGGCCGGCCTCAAAGTACTTCTCCTGCCCGTCGGCGAGGTGGGGTGGGAGCGCGCTGTCCCTCTCGGCCATAACCAGCATGGCGGGGACCTTGAGCTTGTGGTCGGGCCCGAGCTTCCTCGCGAGCTCCTGCTCGTCTTCGCCGCGGGGGCCCGGGGTGCGGTACCAGTTGCAGGGGCCGTGTATGCCGTGGCGCGAGAACTCCTGCACGTAGAAGTCGATGGTCTCCGCGCTGAATAGGGGCGACGGCCCGATCCTCTCCAGGTTCTCCTCCACCACCCCCTCCGACACCTTGAACCCGTAGTCCCCTTCCGGCGTCCTGCCGCCGAACAGGCTGTTCAGGAACCCCCGCAGCCGCTCCGGCGATTTGTCGACGATCTCCTCTGTCTTCCCGCTGGCCAGCTGCAGCTGGTACGTGAAGTTCGGCAGCTTTTTGACCATGTCTTCCAGCGAGTGCTTGACTGGCGACGGCGGCATGTAAGGCACGCACAAGTTGAAGACTGCGCGGATCAGCTCCGGGTGGTAATTAACTAGGCGCCTATGACGGAAAAGAAAAAGTGCCAGTGTCAGTTCGTAAGTAATCTCGCACGACTTTCAAAACAGAAAACAGAACATAAGAGAAATTGGCTCCAAAATCTGCAGTAACCCCTATCGAGTGAAGTCATGGCGCTTGAAATAGAATATGAATGATGATCACAGAAGTTGAAGACTAACCAAGCAAAGACCGCGCCCCAATCGTGGCCACCGAGGATGATAGGCTGATCGGTGTGGTCCTTAACGATGGCCACAATTTGAGCGATCATCTTCGGGAAGGAGTACTCCTCGGATGAATGGGGGGCAGAAGTCTGCCCATATCCCAGCATATCCGGGACAATGACCTGGAAGCCCAGATTTACGAGGTAAGGAACTTGGTAGCGCCATCCGAAATGTATATCCGGCCTGTCGATAATTCATCAGTAATGCTGCTACTGCGACTCGAGGGCAGGGGATTCCTACCAGCCGTGAGTAAGGAGGACGGTGGCGACGGGTTTGCCCTGCGGCTTAGCTAGTATATAGTGGTAGGTGATATCTCCAAAAGACTTGAACTTATGTTCGACCCGAGGGTCATTAGGGGCGAGTGCATCGACAAACTTGTGCTCGACCTTCGAGTCGCTGGGGGCTATGGCCTGATCAGACATATTGGTTTTTGAGGGGAGGTCTCTCGATGTAATAATATAATATACGGGTGAGTCTTAACTAGGTAGGTAGGTGATAAGTAGGGGCTACAAAGTTGGTGGTAACTTAACGAGACGGGCGATAAAACGGGAGCTATGGAACCTTTTATAAGCCTACCGGAGAAGTTCGTCCCCACTTGGACCGGGAACAGGGAGTGCTTCCGAATCCTGGGAGAACCTTCTCAAAGAGGTAATTACTGAGCGTAAAGAAAAAGAATACAAGCATCATAGATGCACACCCTTCTGCTCACTCCCTACCTGCATTAGGTAGTTGATATATTAAGCCTAGGAAACTATTCTGCTCCATACAGATACAGTATCCGTAATGAAGGTTAGCGAGAAAGAGGCGTGCGTAGACATAAGACATTTAGTATCAGGTTTGATCAGAGTTCAAAGCATTAGGATGCCAACAGAATCTCCATCAACGAACTAACCGTAATGGTTATTGCCATATAAGTGACAAAAGTGACCCGAGATCAGGATGACACCCGGGCCAAGAAATAGGGGAAATGTTCGGAGCAATTGAGGAGCCCGTCCAGCCATGAATCCAGAATCTTTAACAGGGCATGTTGACGTACGATGGGATTCCGCTAACGAGGTAACCAATCAGCACGGCGTAGACTAAGACACACGTCGAGAGCGGGGCCGAGGTACTGCTTTCACCTCATAGCAGTTGTAGTCCCGAAAAAAGGGGTGCTGCCTCGGACCTTTATTACAGTCTAAGAACGTTGCCTAGGTAGGTATAACCACCTAACCTAACCTATAGTGTCTGTCCACCGTTATATGTGTTACCTATACCTATCATATATCTATCTATCCTACCTAGGTACTTGATATAAGAGCATGAACTCCGAGCATTAGGTTCGGTATACACAACTAGCAAACAACTACAAACTACCTCCTCACAAGGTATGCGAATAAATATGGCCCCGCACCAACACGCTTTCCCGCGTATTTGGACAACCCGGATTCGACGGAAATTTGGGGTTGCAATTCAGACACCGTCCAACAAGATCTGCATGCCTTCCAACAATAGCCTTTGAGTCAGAGGGAAATCAATAGACTGTCGTACTTGTGTGCGTGATTACCTATCTAACCTAGGCATCCATTGATGCTATGTCGAAGGATGAGGGATCGTCGACGGCAATGGCGCGGCCACAGAGAGTGCCAAGGGTTATTCCATTTGAAATAGTCTACCGGTCTCGGGAGCACGATGAAAAGGTTGATTTCTAATCAAGCTCATCAGGAATCTCAAAAATATATGCCCAATGCGTACCTATACATATAACATAACACACACGCACGCGCGCACACACCACCGTCCTATCAGCCATTGGGAATCGAAACTTATGACGAGAAAACTCCTGGTCGTTAGACCGGCCCCCTTTCCCCAATCACACCAAAAAAAAAAAACGCCTATATAACCACCCTACCCCTCCATGACCAGAGCCTCAAAAACGGCATAAACATAAAAATGGCAAACCGTGCCAAGGAATCTTTTAAGGGGTATCAGTAAATAACCGTGTCCTCAACCTCTTCTATCACAACGTCGTCGGCCCTATCAGACTCCCGTTCGTGACCAACCTTACCAGCGCGAGAAGGCGGGCGGTGATTGGTATCGTTGGATTGTGGAGAGTTCGGAGGGTGTTCTTTATTAGTATTTTCATCCGCCGTGTCCTTGGTTGGTTCGGATGTAGCCGGGTTGACCGCGACACCTAACGCCTTGAGCCTCTGTTCTTTGCGCTGCTTGAAATCGAGGGCTTCCTTGTCGATGATGTCCTCGGCCTCCCGGGTCTGCTCTTTGATGGTATCTTCTTGCTCTTCTGTGAGATCCCACGGTAAATAGTACTGGTATTGTAGTTAGCGAATGCGCCAGCCACGTGATAAAAGAGGGGGGGGGGGTATCCTCTCACTATCTTAGGTGTGCTCTTGGTTTCCAAAAAGCGTGCTGTCGCGAGCATATTCGCATGCTTGTTTTGCATCTGAACGTCTTGTTAGCTTGAGTGACCCGATGTGCTGCTACCTTAAGTAGGTAGAAGAACAGAGGCTTATCATACTACTCGCTCGTCGAATTTGAGCTGTTCCAACTGCCGTACGCTTCTTAATTTCGCCAACTTTTCTTCCCTGTTTTTATCATCTTCAGCCCTTTGCTGGTGAACTCTCGCCTGCTGTCGTCGCTCGATTTCTTGGCGTTTCTTTTGCTGAGAGCTAGAGGTAGTTTGACTTAGTGTGTTTAGCAAACCGCCGAATAGGCGCTTTCCGCGTCTCCTCTCCTCCTGCAGCGCGCTTTCGCGACGATCTGTAGAAGGCTCCTTTGGTGCGGGCAGCGGCTTGGCGGTACCGATACCATCTTCTTCCCTCGCGTCGTCGCTAATTCTCGATCTCTTCGGCGACTGGCTAGACTTGTCTTCGCTCGGCGAGGGCGACAAAGCCTTGCGCTTGTTCGAACGGCGCTGCTCTTTATCTGCTTTAGAGGTAGCAATGGTTTCGCGCTCCGGGCTACGACCATTGGGAGAGCTGCTCTTATCATTAGTCAATTGCAACCAACAGGATTTGAGTAAAGGACAAGTTCTCTCACGTATCGCTAGTCGACATGATGCCGATCCCCCCCTAGCTTTGAAAAGATTGTTAGTACTACCTATTTTTTTATGGAATGCGCGCAAGGTTAGAATAGCGATTGCCACGGCGGGCGATCTGTTAAGTTAGACCATGCTTCTAAACATTGTTTGCTTAGATGAGAAGATTGAGCCGGATTGTCGCGCGGGACGAGGCTGAAGGGCCAAAGCGTCAGAGCCGTTTTCTATGCGACGGGCGCGCAACTCTAACATTAAAGTGGGTGGGTACAAAAACCCAGGCTCCGACAGGTACCCCACGCTATTATGTACGTTAGTGTCGATTTATGCAACTGTGCCAAGCGTGCATATGTAATGGGCCCACCTTTAAAACAATTTCCCTTAATTCCCTTATGCAGGGAAGCTCCAATCTCGTGCAGATGTGCAGATGCTTCGTACCAAAGAAATCGCCAGAAGAAAGTGGCAAGGCTGAGAAATCGTCAGGAAGGCTAATATTATTATTTTTCTAAAATCGTACATCAAACAGCCAAATAAACTCGACCATTCCTTCCATCTAAAAACAACAACTCGCTTCTCCATAAAAATAACTCCATCATAATAATATATTTCCGCAGTCCACCAAAATGTCTCGACATCATCCGTAAGTACCTACCTAATATATCTTCTTGTTGTTTACTCGCGGTAAGCTGAGCCAAATTTACGCTAACCCTCGTCTTCCAGAGATCTCGTCATGTGCCGCAAGCAATCCGGCATCGCGATCGGCCGTGTCTGCGACAAATGCGATGGCAAATGCCCCGTATGCGATTCCTACGTGCGGCCGACAACCCTCGTGCGCATCTGCGACGAATGCAGCTTCGGAAACTACCAGAACAAGTGTGTCGTATGCGGCGGCGAGGGTATTTCGGACGCGTTTTACTGTTTCGAATGCACGCGATTAGAAAAGGATAGAGACGGGTGTCCCAAAATTATAAATCTCGGTAGTTCACGTACAGATGTAAGTCCTTTTCTACACATATTTCTTGCGTCCAAGTACGTTCTTATTGAATACTGGAATCATACTGACTCTCTCGTAGCTGTTCTATCAAAAGAAAACAAATCGGTCGGGGTACTAACCCCTATGATGCCCGGGTCTGGGCTGTGGTTGTTTGGGCTTTCATGGATTCGCAATCATTAGCGTATCCGACATGTTGACATCACCAATGTACACAACAACATCCGTGGGAAAGGAGTTAAAACTTCGGATCAGCGTTTATATCGGCGTTTGGAGGATATGACAGTCTTCATATAGATGAAATTGACATTGAGTTACCTAATTTATGACCAATACAAAGCAATTATTCTCGTTAAAAAAAAACCTTCCCGCGCAAACGTAAGCCATATGCTTCGTTCAGGATACTAATTATCCTTTTATTCCAAAGTGATTATTACCCGCTGAAAGAGGATGATCTACAGAAAGCCATATTAAAACCCATCTACTAGATGTAGCTCACCTTAACCCCCATACCAGCCGTTGATTTAACCTTATTCCAACCCGTACCGAGAACCTGGCGAACACGTTCTCGAACACTTTTCTTTCCAAACATAACAATTATGCCGACAACGAAAGCCAACAGCCTCACCAGCATCACAGGGTTGGCTTTGAACGTAGCGCTCATCTGTTCGATGATGTTGCGAAGGTTTGATATGATCATCACAGCTCGTGCAGTAAGACTTGGCCGTGCTGCAACTTTCTTCTCCTTGGGAGTTGATGGCTTAGATGGCCTTGATAACGCAGAACCATTAGAATCGGTTCGAGCCTTATTTCTCGCTTTCGGAGTGCTCGGGGTGTTTTCGATGCCGTAGTCGACCTCGGCGCCTTCTCGTTTAACCCTTTCTTCGTTTAATCGACGTCGTTCCCTTGCTTCATTCTCCGCTCTCAATCTCCTAGCCTCTTCGATATCTTTTTGCAGTTTTTCCTCTTGCCTCTGCTTCTCTTCCCGTTCCTTCCGTTCCGCTTCTTGCTGCTCTTCCTGTAGACTTTGAAGGGCTTGCAAAAAAGCTTCCCTCCGCTCTTCATCTAGTACTGCGCTTGAGCTAATAAACTCTCTGGCGTAGTCCCATTCATTATTACGTAATAAGACGTGGAGTGTGTACAGTTCGAGTATCTTCACTCTGGCATTGAGATCCCGGGGAGTATCAGCACCACTCTTAGAATGGGACCTTCGACTTCGCGAAGTCAAGCGCGGAGATCTGGTCGCCTCGAGCTGTTTAGATATGTCAAGGTTTGGAGTGCTTGAGGCGGCTAAGTAATTCTCCAGCCGTTTCTGGTTGATTGTCTGTGTTTTCGCATGTGCAAGAAGCAGAGTCGCCCTAGAGACACGTTAGTATTTGTTCTGTATCAAGTTTCAAGCCATATGCCATATATAAATTCGGCTTGGAATATAATAACCCCTAATCCAGGATAGAAGGAAGAACTCACAGGTTTATGACCACGTCGGAATCTACCTCCCCTTCGACGCCATGATACCCGAACTGCACCACTTCTTCCCATACGTCGCCGTCTCGCACCTTCTTGCATATGGTGCGCCATTCTTGACTGCCAAATGCATCTTTTCCTTCGTCGGCATCCAACTCCAATATCGCATTAAGAATCGTTAGATAAAGACTCCATACCTTTATCCTTGTCGATTTCGAAGCTCGAGCCACGAGTGCTGGTTCGGTTAATCCATTTACGTTGGAATGTTCGGTAGATGGGGTAATTAATGGTAATACCGTCGACAAGGCTTCGGGAAGCCGACGCGTTAGGAATAATTGCGAGGCTTGTCGGTATGTTTTGGAGATACTACTCGACGACGGCCGAGATGCCGTTGAAGATGTCAAGGAGGTGATCGAGTTCGACAGGACGTGGGATCCGAAGGTCTCGGACACTGCCGGGCTCAATGTTGCGGAATATGACCCATCAAACGACATGTTTGCGAATGGCGAATGGCTTAGGTAGGCAATTCGGATAAGAATTGGTCTAAATACCAACTAGCATAACGCGATAATGACGGGATGGCCAACAATAGAATGACACTAGCAAAGAATAAGATAGTGAAAATCGAATCAATAGCTACCTCAATGCTAACATAAAATTAAAGCGGTAGTAGAAGTTTGCACATGCAGGAACAACATAAGCATGTGGGACCTGACGAGGTCGAAAGTCCTCGCGGTGATTGCCAGATAGGTATGCGGGAAGATTGCACTTGCCTAAGGTGTGATCATCATATTTTGATCGTACCCAGCCAGCCAGCCAGCCCGGCCTAGGTAGGTGCGCCTGTACCTCGGTATATCGGTCATCGGCCGACAAGCGCGAATAACGTTAGAGTGGTCCCACATGTTCTTTCTCTAAAACTACCCCAACCGGTTAGGGCATATCTGGCAAGTACGCTAACCAGCCAGCCAGCTCCGCCCTTGGCTCGAGCCTTACAGAATACCTTACGGACTTGGACATCTTTCACATATTTCACCTAACTCCCCAGGTTTTCAATATGAGAAACTACAAAGGTTTCTATTCTCAGAAGTACCTAAACTACCTAACCTAAGGCAATACCTAATGTTAACAATTTTGAAATCTAATATTGTTATACTAGGTTAATGACTAGCAATCTTCTCTTCTGTTTCGACTTCGGTACAAGAGCGAGGATGAATAGCTTCCAATAATTATACGAATCTAGAAAACTATCAGCTTAAACAACAATGACTCATTTCAATAGTTAGCTATTACTGAGGTTGTTAGGTATCACCTAATAATTGGTAACCCCCGGTATTGGTAATAAAAGAGTCAAAAGTGGTAGTTAACGAAATGAGATAGATACTACCTTGGGTACCTATAGTTGTTATTTGACTACCAGGTACTTTAATAGCCAATTATCACTATTATTATAGAGTCCTAGCAATAGCCCTGTCACATATCTTGAGCAACCCAGGAAACTGAACGCATATCTAGTCCGCACATTGACGGCATACACAAAATAGGGGTCAACGTCTACGTTAGGTACCTAAGTACCCAATAAGGCAATGTGAATTTCGTTTAACACAGACGGCCGTGAGGCTCTTATATAAGAGGTACTCTGTGCTTTCCTTCTCCTTTTCCTAGAAGCCAATACAATCAAATAGTAGGTAATTCAGATAAAATAATGTAATACAGTACCTCTGACTGTAGAAATGACTTTCGTAGTTTCCTAAAATTAATAGAGGTACATACCTAAAGTAACTAAAGTAGCAAACTATTTCCAACGTTGCTTCCGTCTGAAATGTCCATGAATATCTGGTTTCTGCTAATTGCGTGTTAGGTACGATTAGCCATCCGAGGTATCTTTGGATCAGAAATACGTTACCAGATATCGACTCACAAAGCATCAGCACCTTCCTTCCCTGAGAACATTTGAAGTTACCTCTTGATTAGGAGACATAAAAATTCTTACACATGTACCTAAGTTAGTTCTCACCAATTGGAAGTTGCAACCTACCTAAGTTCCTTCTGTTAGAGATTCACAACGAAAAATATATAAAACTTCGTACATTTTCCCTCTTCCTAACTATAAGTTTCCTTCCCCCTTTTTTTAAACTTATTTTAATTCAACATCCAACAAGTGGTTACCGCCGCCTCATCTACAATACCAGGCCAGAACATACCCCTATAATTACGGCATAACAATTCTTGCCTATAACCATTACCTAACACCATGGATGTCAACAAGAATAACTTTTTCTGGATGTTGCCATCTATACTATACGAGGCTCAAAATGCTCGTTATGTAACATTTGACATCGAGATGAGTGGTATCCCGATTATTCATGGCCGAAACAGTATTCAAGATACATACGCCAAGATCAAAGAAGCGGCAGAACAGTTCCAAATGGTGCAACTTGGACTCACTTTTGTTCGCTACGACGAGAAGTTGAGTAAGTCTAAGATAACTTACAAACAAACGAAGCTTTAACTGACTCTCATGGTAAGATCACTATACGACGAGAACGTTCACTTTCTCTGTTTCTCCACTGTTTCCTAAATCAACGCTTTTTGATAACCTCTCTCGACGTCTTGATAGAAAGTTCGCCTACTCCGTGCGAGCGTATGACTTTCTACAACAGCACAAGTTTAACTTCACCGGGGCTATAGAAAATGGAAATCATTATCTCAGCCGAGAGGAGCATAGATTTGCAATACAATACTGCTTCTCGAGTGATCCCGGCAACGAACATATTGATCCTTCATCGTTGGACTATCAATCTCAAGACTTCTATGAAAGGACCAGGAGGCAAATCGCTGCATTTATCGGTGAAGGACCTAAACCGGTATGGCCTGCCCTTCAGATTAAGGCTTGTTAAGCTAATTGTCTATTAGGACATGAATCTTGTTGTAAAGAACCCGTATGGGGAAAAGCTGAATGGGTTGCAGATACGTTTGATACATCAAGTCGTCCGCGAACAGTTTCCCTCCTGTGCAGTGGTCCGAAGCCTACTACCGGGCTCTGTTTCTATTATTCTCGTTAATAAGGAGGCTTCATACAAGGTCCGTAACCCCCCAAAATAATTGTACACTATCACTTACGATGCCTGGCTAATAAATCTCATTGGACCAGACCGAGGCACGACGAAGATGGAACATGGGAGAGATTGATAAACTAACTGGTTTGTACTCGGCGAGGCTTCATAATTTGCAAGTCGCTAATTTTTTATAGGACTTCAAATAATATTTGAAGCATTGTCAGGTGGATCCTTTGCAGACAGGATCAAACAAGAATATGTCTGTCGCCAAGAGGATGTTCCAGAGCACGAAAAGGAGTGGAATGAACGCAACAAGGCATTCGACTTTGAAAAGTGCGAAGCCAGTCTAAAGAAAAATAGACCGATACTGGTTGGCCATAACATATTCATGGACCTCGCGTATATATATCAATCGTTTTTTGAGTCATTGCCCTCCAACGTTGACGACTTTCTGACTGAGATACATGAACTCTTCCCACGAATCGCGGACACAAAATTCATGTATGGACGAGGCAAACACATGATGGCGCCGGATCGAAACTTAGACAGGATCTACGATTCGTACGCGAAAAAGACGTTTCCTAAAATCAAATTAGAGCTCGGAAGAAACCTGCCGGGCCCTCACCATGCCGGATTCGATAGTAAGCCCTCTTTACCCCTACACATTGAATATTGGAATCTCCTAACTAACGTGATTAGGTTCTACGACGGCCAACCTATTCTTGAAACAGAGCCATGCTCTGTTTATTGCCAGGAAACATTTGCAAATATTCAACAAAGAGGTGCATGCGCCAACGAAACCCGCCACGACGGACGGAGAGGGACAAACATGCATTAGTACGTTCTCATGGTCGATGATAAGTTGGCCTAATAAAAACTCTACCAGTATTATTGATGACGAGGATGACGAGGCATTGAGGAGCTTGGAGAAATGGAATATCCTCGATCCAGACACTGCAAGCTGGGAGTCTCCAACTCCTAGCGGCAGCACAACAACATCAGACGAGGACAGATCTAAGAACGAAGTCGGCACTCTTAATCCGGGCGAAATATACTCGGAAGCAGAAATACCCCTGATACCACTCTGGTCAGATGCTTTCTGGAGAGCCTACGGCAACCAATGTTCAGTCCCCAGTGCAGGCTATGTCTCTTTTGAGTCCGTCTAGCGAACTGCGGTGAGGATGGCCGACCGCGACATATTTATACAAGCAACAGATGACATGCCGGCGTCCATATTTTAGACCGGCAAATTCGAGGGGACCGGTGGATTAGACTTGGCTTGAGCCTTGGTCTGCGTGGCGCGGTTTACGAAGAACAGACGAAAACAATTTCGGTGTAGCGCGAGGAACAAACCTACCTACCCAATGTACATACTGCGAAAGCCAGTGGCTATACATACTAAGTATCCTCCATTCTACATGGGAACTGGATATCTTGGTTACCGTTTCAATACGACTGGCATTGGTAGCTAGGTAGATTCGGATAGTCAGGAGACATTTACAGTAACAAGGTGTCTTGATGCAAATAACACGAGAATTTTCCTATGAACCGAGATATTTGCTACTCGTGATGGAACCAGCTGGTTGTGGTGGAGACACAAAGCGTAATCAGCGGTTTGGATAGACAGGATATGAATGGCACTGGGAGTTCATGCCTAGGTGTATGTAGAGTAATGTGTGCATGTGGTAGTTATGTACGGGGGCTGCCCTTTTCCGGGTAGGGTACAGTATAATACACTGTCTTTACATTGACGGGATCGTAGATTACAGAGGCTTCGTTCGTATCATGAATTCTACCTGTTCTACCGATCCGCCATCATATTTCTTACGGCGTGGAAGTACTTCTCTGGTAGCTTCTCTTTCAGCTCCTCCTTCGTCAGCCAGTTGAAGTCTTGGAGCCCGAACTTGTTATCCTTCAGGTCCGCCTGGCCGGCCATGATTCTTCCCTTCAGGAAGAATATCTTCTCACCTTTCCGCTTGAGGGCCGAGTTCTCGTCGAACTCGGGGTGTGTGACGATGTGGGCAACGGGTGCGCGGCCCACTATCCAGGTGTTCATATTCACACCTGCTGCGGACTCTAAGGCTCTTGCTGCGGTCTATAGATGGGGTTAGCATGAACAGGCTCGTTGTAATATGGGACATTGCCTATTTCAAGACGAACCTCGTGTAAATGCTCATCTGTGGGCACATCCTCACAAGGAAATTGCCATTGCCCATCACTACCCTGAACAAGCAAGTAGAGGGTCCTGTCCAACTTGCGGTCCAATCGCCTCACGTCGTTTGTCTTGTCGGCCTCCGTGATTCTATCCATGGGCTGTTCGACGGGCAGGACCTCATCCGGGTCAGCCTCGTCGCCGTCCTCGGTGACGCGATTCTCGGCGTCCTTGAGCAGGATCTGGCGTATCCTCTCCTCGCTGCTCAGCGTGCTTCCGACCAGCAGCTCGTCGTTCCACGAGTTGCGGCCCTGGGGGTAGTACCTCCCGAGCTCCTTGGCGGCGATGCGGCCGCGCTCCTCGAACTTGATGCGCCAGTCGAGGTCGGCGGCCGTGTCCTTCTTGAAGAAGAGCGTGTGCCGGAACGGCAGGACTAGCCGCTCGTTCAGCCGCTTCTGGTAGAAGTAGAAGGCGTTCTCGAACGGCGTCAGGGCCCGCGTCAGCAGCGGCGCCCGCGTCAGGATGATGCCGGATTTTATGCGGTACTCGGCCCGGCGGGACGCCGTGAAGGGCGGGTGCGGTTGCGATTCCGTCGGCTTCAGGTGGTGGGCTTCAGCGGCGACCGCGGCCTCGGCGGCGGCGGCGGAGTACGGTCGGAATTGGGCATTTCTGCAACTGGCGCATATGCTGGATTGTCCTTCTAAGTAAGCCTTTTGTTAGCACAACCACGAATTTGCGATTTCCGACTTCTGATTCCCGGAGGTACCTTTAGGTAACTTACTTCGCAACAGGGCTGCGGCAGCTTTGCTACCTCTACTTGAAGCTGCCATGGTCGGGGGGGGGGGGGGGGGGGGGGCCCCCCATTGCATGAACCAAACCCCCCGGACACCGCCGGGGTTCGGCAAATTGGTTGAATTTATTTGCCGGGGCCCCCCCCAAGGGGTGGCCAAAAAAAAATTTTT